GAGGGAGCCTGACTATAAGCAGACGAGCAACACAGAACTTTTATGTGGGGAGGTTTGATATGAAGAAGTTAATTGATGGAGAAATTAAAAGAACAGTATGAGGTTCAAGTCTCAAACAGGTTTGCAGATTTGGAAAACTTGCATGATAATATAGACATTGTTAGGGCATGGGAAAGAATTAGAATATCAAAACTTCAACTTGAGTCTAGGTTAATTTAAGTTAAAACAGCATTAAATATGATTTGACAAAGAACACTGAAAATTATTAAATCAAAGGAAGCAGACTAAATTGCAATGGCTATGTAATTGAAGTCAAATGAATGCAGTCAGTCAGACAATATAATATACGTGAAACTAGATCCAGAGGTCCAGGTTCGATTCCCAGCACTACCAGATTTTCTGAGAAGTATTGGGTCTGGAATGGGGTCCACTCAGCCTCATGAGGATAACTGAGGAGCTGCTTGAATGAAAAGTAGGGGCTTTGGTCTAGCAAACCGAAATTAACGGCTGTGGGGATTTGTTGCGCTGACCACACGACACCCTCTATCCACTAAAGTTAGCACTAACTTTGCCGACAAATGGCAGTCGCTTCGTCTGTATAGTTCACTTGCAGACTAAAACCATGGAGTTTGTTTGTTTTTATTGGTGACTAGACATGAGGATTGGTAATTGGATTTATGAATATTTATAACTCATAACCATGGCCGGCGCGTAAGGCTGACAACCTTACCGCCATCTTTGAGCCAATTGTCTAGATAGTGTGGGACCCTCAACGTCTCACAACCCTATGGGCCTTCACGGCCTGTTAGAGGGATAGCTTAATTTTACTTTTTTAACTACAGGTGACTATAATCATTTCATGGATTTACACACACTACAAATCACTGTAACTTCAGCACACGCAGAAGTCTTCTTTGTCTTCACTAGTCATTGCTTGGCGGTTCTTTTGCTTCAGTGCAAATGCCCCTACTGAATAGCAGCTGACTCACAGCTAACTCACAATGGCAACTCATTCACATTATTAAGTCACCAAAAACCGAAGTTGGTTTTCCTTATATAGCCTCGGCACGGACCAGTAGAAAACACTGCTTCCAACAGTTCCTCTGTTGTGTGGTTTTTCATTACCTTTGGAAGGGGGTTTACCTTGCTGGTGCCTGACAGTGAATGTCTTTTCAGGGTTGGCTATTCATATCACAATATTATGACCTGTATAGAGGCTTATAGGATTTAAGATTGGTTACCAATATAAAGCTAATATGGCTAGGGATGAGAATGCTGGTGTGCATGTACATTTACACAGTATCATGAATCAGAGAAAGAATTACTCATCAGCTTTTGAATGTACATGAGGTAATGATTTTGAACAGACTGCAATATGTACAGCTGAGCCAGTAGTACAGGCCTGCAATTCTTTTTGAGGTCAAGACTAATAATCAAAACTTGAAAAAATACAAATTGCTATGTACTGATCAAATTCTAGAATTGATCTAAGTAGAAGGTGGAACAATGTTCTGAGATGCACAAGCTTAATCTACTATCGAAGAATTTCTACAGCAGTGAAAGGAATGCAGTATTGTACCTATTTATGAAAATTATGATAAAACTTACTAGTAATTTTAAATGAATACCACTGCATTAGGTAGTGGACACTAAATGAGTACAGTGGGACAGCACATTTTTAATAGCTACTTATATATTTTAAGAAACCTCATGATTCAGTTAGGTGGGAAGTAATATACAAGATCCTAATTCACCATTAATATGAAACTAGTTTGCTAATTAGAAAGTGCTTAATTGAAACCTAAATTAAAATGTGAATAGGTAAACATTGTCCGGTACAGTCTGTGTTCACAGTGGTCTAAAAAAGATGCTTTATTCCCATTGATTTTCACCCATACTTTACTGTACACCATTTGGAAGAAAATTAGGAAGAGCCGAAACAGAATGGGACAGTTCAACCTTTGGTATAAGCTGATATTAATTTGTTGGGTAAAAACATAAATACAGTGCTATAAAAAGAAAAAAAACTTTGCTAGATTTTAGTAAAGAGGTCGGTCTAGAAGTAAATGTAGAGAAATTTAAGTGTATGTTTTATACGAGGTATTTCAGCCATTATAATTTATATTGATAATTAAGTAATAAGAACCATCAAGTAGTTAGAAACTTTATTTATTGGATAAAATATGCCTTACATTCACATAGAATGTTTGTATTACAGATCCGCCAACAATGCGACCACTTTATTCCCTAGAATTTGCACTTTTCCTCGCTGTAGTAGATGTTATGCCTAACGTAACAGCAACAGCGAGCTTGCACATTGAAACAACACGCCACAAAAAAAAAACAAGGACGGTCAAAATATATACTGTTTGGACAAGTGGACAACACCCTACAGAGGTGTAGGAAGTACACAAAATTTAAGAATTAAAATTTTAAATTTAAATTGAATTTTAAAAAAATTTAATGAAATTTTAGTTAACTGCAATAGAAAGTGAGTCACAGTGTATGTGGATTGACTAATGTTAGCAGGATTGTAACTGCACCATTAATATGGAACAGTGCAGTTAAATTTAAGAATTAAAATTTTAAATTTAAATTGAATTTTAAAAAATTTAATGAAATTTTAGTTAACTGCAATAGAAAGTGAGTCACAGTGTATGTGGATTGACTAATGTTAGCAGGATTGTAACTGCACCATTAATATGGAACAGTGCAGTTACATGTGAAATGTATGACTGATATTCAGTGTAGGTAAAAGTTCTGGCGAATTGAAAAAAATACAAATTCTAAGCAATAAAGTGATTGCGTTGTTGACGGAACTGTAATATAACTATTCTATGTTAATGGTATATAAATGCATTAGGATGCTTACTTATATGGACTTTACTATACATTTGGTTTGAAACATTTCAATCAGCCTAACTAGTTTCATGGGTACCCCAAACTCTGTTAGAATATTGTACAATATTTCCCTCCTCACTGAATCATATACTTTTTTCTTTAAGTCTATGAATAGCTGATGAACTGTCTTGTACTCCAGTATCTGAGGAATGCAAAAGATCTAATCAATGGTTGATCTGTTACCTCGAAACCCACACTGGTGATCCCCATTAATTTCGTCTATATATGAACATAATCTTGGGAGGAGAATATTGGACAAAATTTTGTATGAAGTTGAGAGTACTGATATCCCCCAATAATTACTACATTCAGTTTTTGTCACCCTTCAGCTGTATGTATTTCTATGTGACTAACTTCACTGACCCTATGTACATACATTCAATGAGAGAGTAGTACTTTCTCCACGTATTCAAAATGTTGTGGGAATCTGCAAGTAGATCACCATTCTCATCCTGCTCTAAGTTACTCCTAGGTTGGTAACCCCTCTTAAAGTCATTTATTCCTCTATACAGGTCTCTGATGTTCTTGTTCTTACTGTTTGTTGCAAGCTAATCAATATTGCCTTTCAGATATTCCCTCTTTTTATTCCTGAAATGCCTGCTGGTTTCATGTCTTATATTTTTCTCTCTACAACTTCTGTTCCAAATATTTCTCACTCCAACAAATATTTACTGACTTAAGCTCAAGGTGTGTGCAGAAATGCATGTAGATTTTCACACAAAGTACCCGTTATGTTTTGTCTGATTCTATTATTATTATTATTATTATTATTATTTACTGCAATTGGGTGTTCACCCGGTGGCAGTAGAACTTGCACTGATACAGACAAGTAGAGTCTATAACATAAGGGAACAATACAATACGGAAAACAAGGTACACACAGTGCAAATCCAAACATGCACTCGAACAAGGACACTTCACATTACTTCACTTGCTTCCATTCAAACTGCGCCTGAGGCCTCTGTACTTGCAACAGGGGAAAGACGCTAGTATGCCTGCAGGTAAACTGTTCCAATCCTTTATGGTCATATTTACAAAGGAATATTTGGCAACATCAGTTCTTTGTTTCCTGCTTCTGACTTTCCAAATATGATCGTCTCTATTCAGGTAGCATGGTTTAAGCAGGCTATCCCCTATCGCTTTCCAAGCTGGTCCCCTGGTGTACGCCTTGTAGAGGGCGCACAGACGGGCTATCAGTCGATGCTGTGCCAAAGTTTCCCAGCCAGATTCATCTGTAGGATTGGCAAATTTAGCTGCTCTTCTTTGTACCCAATTTAAAGCGCTGACCTGCCATTCTCTGTATGGGTCCCAACATACCGAACCATATTCAAGTATCGGTCTCACTAGTGACATATAGGCTAGACGTTTTGTGTTATTATTGCCGTTTCAGTATACGCATTATTAAATGAAGAGCCTTCCATGCTGTTCGTAGGGTTAGTATTAAGGAGTGCATAAAGCAGACTTTAGTTTGGAATACATACTGTGTTCAGTAGGGCAGAGATTTGTTTTTTATTAAATATGAATGAAAAGTGCTTTCACATTCACCAAATATGTGACATCACACATAAAAAAATTTGCATTTTATTAAATGCACTGGGTGTAGAAAATATTTTAGATCTCAGTTTTGGTGTCAGGTGATATACACTAATATGTTGTATTTATGTTCAGACAGGAAACGTTTAAAGCTCCGCTGTTCAACACAAGACAGTTTCATTCTGGTAGTGCATCACAAGCATTCAGTCGACTAACACCCCAATATAAGAACGTGAACCTTCTCCAAATTATAAAGAGCAAATTCAATTACACATCTGCTAAGCCAATTTCACACTTGGTTGGAAACAGCAATGTACAACCATCTCATCCTGTCCTTGGGCAGCCAGTCACACAACTATGGAAAACAAGTGAAACTAGCAACCAACTGCAAAGAAATGGGGCTTGGGGACATATATTTGTGCGGAATAAAGTTAGATGCTATTTCCCCAGGCCATGTGAGTACAAGAGGATTAAAAGACATGGCTATAAAGCACGTTTGTCAACTGCAGCAGGAAGAAGAATCATAATGCGTAGAATTTTAAAGGGAAGACATGTTCTTTGTCATTAAATGTAATGCATATTATTGTAGTTCATTGTATTTTGTGTTAGAAAAATGTACTGATATCAATATGTATCACAAAAACAGTATACTGTATAACTGGTCAACAATTATCTGTCACAGTTTATTGTACATCTTACATTTTCTGCATCATAATCAGGATTCAGACCTAGAGCTTGACAAGTCCACTGAAAGCTACTTGGAAGAGGTGCTTCTATAATAAGGTCACTATCTTTTCCCAGATAGTGTGGCAGAATTAGTCTTCGAAGATGTAAATGGGTTGGTATGATTACTTCTTGGCCAGGTTTAATTGCAAGAGCTGCTTGCAGCTCCTTTGGCAGCTTCTGAAATGAAACAGTAAACAACCACATTGGCAGAAGTAACTAACATTGTTCCCCACAATTTTATATCGCGCATGTGCAATACGTGTGTCAAAGATTGTTAACTTACAACCATAGCCTAGCTGCTATGCATTATTTTTAGTTTAGGCCGCGCCATAGCTCAAGCGGTTAGTTGCTGGCTTTCCACCACGGCAGCCCGGGTTCAATCCCGGGTCTGGTCAAGTGGGATTTGTGGTGGACAAAGTGGCACTGGGGCAGGTTTTCTCCAAGTACTTCAGTTTCCTCTGCCAATCTTCATTTCACCAATTGCTCCACAATCACCCTCACCTATCATCTGGGGCTGATACAATAGGCCAGAAGTGGCCGCAGTACAAGGGACTTAGTCCCACCCCACTAGCATTAAAAAAAATTAGTTTAAATCAAATTTTACTGCTTGAATATTTACCATTTTCTTATCAACCATATATCATGCATTTTATGAAAAATTATACGCAATGCATTCGTTTGGTAGTGTTGTGTGTGCGCCTGTTAACTGTGAATACAAAGCAATTGCTATTACCTGTGTGGATTCATAGTTACACTATACAGTAGGTCAATCCAGCAGCATTAAAGGCTTGCAGTAGTATGCTATACTAGTTTTAATGTACTTTACATCAATGACAACTATGTTCAAAGCTGTGCAATTTGAAGAACAATGGTGAACACAGTATTTGGGAAGTTCTTGGCTGGAATATCAGCTATCCTGATAGGCTTTTTGTAGTTTCTCTGTTTCTCCAAGCAAATGCTCAGACAGTACCCCAGTTAGGTCATGACCAATTCCAGATCCTTTTGTGTTTCACAAATCCTATTATCCAATGCTGTATAGTCTAGACACTGAAAGTGTCATAAAATAACCCACAAATAGGGGAACAAGATAATGGTAATCAAAAAGAAGAAAGGGGTTGAAGGGTGAAGATATCTCCCCATGGTATTTCAGCAGACTTCTCCATTAGTAATACACATGTGTTTTTGCAGAATAGAGTGATCTGTTTCAAAATCTGAGTTTGTATAACTTGTACTGTAGGTTCACTACACTTGCCTCTCAGCTAACCATGGTAATGGAGCACAGAACAGGCATATTACCTCAAAACAACAGACAAAACAAAAATATTATATAACTTTCTTAGGAATTCGAAAATGTTCCTTTCTTATGATGGTACTGAGACTGCAATGTCAGTTTCTTCTTCAGCTAACTAACCCAGTCCTTGAGAAGCCACAGGTTCTCAGCCACTAAAGAATTTTCAAACATTTTATGGATATCAAAGTTCATTACTATGTTCACAAGAGCCCTCCCCTCTTCTCTATCCTGAGCGAGATGAATCCAGTCCATATAAACCATATTATTTCTCTGAGATCCATCTCAATATCGTGCTGCCACCTACATGTAGGTCTTCCTAGCGATTTCTTTCCTCCTAGTGCCCCTCCCAAAATCCTATATGCATTTCTGCCCATGCACGCTACATGCCCAGCCCATCTCATCCTTGACTTCATCATTCTAATTATATTTGTCAAAGAGTATAAGGTATGAAGCTCCTCGTTATGCAGTTTTCTACATCCCTCTCACTGCAAATATTTTCCTCAGCATCCTGTTCTCAAATACCTTCAGTTAAATACATATACCATATTTATTTGCATTAGTGTTAATTTCTAGCATTTTTCCATGTATCAGGGAAGCAAATAATTGACTTTTCTCTCTCATATGAGGGTTGTTCAAGAAGTTCCCATAATTTCTCTATAAATAATATCTTCCTCTGCTTAGATCTTACTGAATATTATCCCCTTAAAACAGTCCTCTTGTGCAGCAATGCATCTCTACCTCCGCCTTTTCTACTTTTGGAAGCACTGTTCGAAGGATGTTTGTGGTATCAAGTCATTCCTCACATTAGTGACGATGTATTCCACTGCTTGAAATCTTCCTTTAAGTATAATTTTGAGTTTAGGGAACAAAAAACTTGGGAAGGAGAGGTCAGGTGAATAGAGGGGTTATGGAAGGGTAGGAATTGAATGCTTTGCCAAGAACTGTCCAATTTACAATGCTGGGTGAGAAGCACTGTCATGATGGAGAAACAAGCTTCCTACAGTCTACATTTCAGGTCGCTTTCTTTGTACAGCATCCCACAGACATCTGAGAACTGCAAGATAAAAATCTTGACTGTCTGAATTTCACAAGCTAATTCATAGAGCACAATGCCTCAATGATAAGAGAAAAAAACAAGCAGCACTGCTTTAACTTATGAGCACACCTGTCGCGCTTCTTGGGGCCAAACAAAGCAGAATTCTTCCAGTGTGGGGACTGTTGTTTGGTTTCAACATCGGAACCCTAAACTCATGTTTTCTCCCCCCCACCCACCGATAATGACATTTGGAAGACATCTTCAGAGATGGAAAATAGTAGTGTCTGCTAATCAGTGAAGAAAGGTTTTAGCACAAATTTTGCTTTGGCTCAGTGGATTCCTAAATCTTCCATTAAATTTGTGTGGCATGAACCAATGGATATTCCAGGCTCTTCTTCAACATCGCGGTCAGTCAGCTGACATTTTCCATGGATAGTCTTTTTCACTTAGGCAATCAGAGATCTAAATCTTGAAGTTGAAGGTTGGTCAGACTGCTTGTCGCCATCCACTGAAGTTCTTCCAGTTTTAAAACATCTGAACGGTTCGTAAGTCATTGTTTTTGATTTGTGGTATCATCACCATAGCTTCACACAACATATGGGTTTCTGCAGCTGTTTTCACTACACTGAAATTCTTTGCTCCTTTACCAACTCCATACTAAATGTAACAAGACAACACACTCATTCACAAAACTGATTATAAAAGCTAAACAGAAATGGCTTGAGTAGCTAACAGTCAGGTTGCAAGTACACTCAAACAACACTTAACATGACAGATGCACTGCTGATTTATTGACAAATTTCAGAAATTTTTCGAACACATCACATATATTCCCAATCCGAATTTTACTTTTTACCTTTTACACCCCCCCCTCCCCACCAGTTTAAACATATGTAAATTGCATGTTCTCTTCACTTGTGTAGCATTCATCCTCTCTGTGTTCTTGGTTCTGTTTGCAACATATCATTTCAGTCTCTCTCTCCACTGAAGGTTACTGGCAAGTTTAAAATTCACTGAATCTTTTAATGAAAATAATTTTGTTCACTTTTCTAATATAGCACTGCTTTTGTTGTTCAAAGAGCATAATGATTCTTGATTACATTGGTCTGCAATGGNACCCTTTTTTTTTTTTTTTTTTTTTTTTTTGCAAACAGAAGATAATTTTATGTGGTGAATACTGTGCTGCTGGTGATGTGGCCTGGAAATGATCATACTGCAGTGTTGCCACCACACATGGTCTATCACTACAGGGCTCAAATCTAACTCAAATTTTACATCGGTTAATATTTGTACCACCATTTGCCTTTCCCTTCCTAACCTGAGATTGCCAGGGCATGCCTGGTTCAGATCTGAACCCCATGTAACTGCTTATGACTCACTGTGCCAATATCCCCTATGCAAATCCACATGGGAAAAAATTTCCTACAGCACTGAATTCTTTATCCTTACCAAGTTCATAGAAACTGCTGGAATTTGGAAGTTTCTCATAACAGTTAATTGGGAGAGCAAAGCATAAAGCCTGCACTGGATGAAAAAGCAGCGCTTCACACAATTAGTCTCTGATATCAGGTTCAGAAAACATATGTGAAAGTTTGGTTGACACAAAGAGAGTTGCCTCTGCTCAGTATAGAACTGGGCTTGATGAAGCAATTTGTGAATGGAGTGGACAAGGATGGGAGTTGTTTCAAGTACATATACAGCAAATTCACAGCTATCACATGTGATAAATTTAAATAAATTCTCATTGGGCCTCAGATTGGATGTTGCTTCTGATGAACACTTTGCAGGAACAATGAGATGAGTTGAAACAGAACCATAGGGAGGCTTAAAAAATGTAACAATCTGGTCAGGAACAGTAAAGACACATTATAAAATGGTGGTTCAAAATATGCTGGATACATTTTGGAAGTTAAGCTGCAACATAAACCTAGAAGTTAATTTCTTACACTTATGTTTGGACACTTTTTCTTAGTCTTTGTAGTTTCAGAGGGAATGCAGGAGAGAGAACAGAGAAGGTGGAATGTCAAGATGATAACAGATTGCTGCAGGTGACAAAACAGCAACTTCCAACATGATGCAATAAAAATATCACTTTGACAGAAGGTAATTTGTTATATTTGAATTAATGTTCTAACACCACTCTTTTCCAACCCGCCTTTGTTTATATCAGCTCAGTCAGAATGGTCCTATCCCTGCTACACCTGTTTCTACCTTATGACAGTGTATGATGGCCACTGCAAGTTGTCCTCACAGATCAAACTAAGGAAGGTCAGTATAGGTACGGGAAACTAGCTGGGTCAGTTTGCATGAGTCTCAGGGTAGCGATGCCGAAGAAAGCGGTATTCTGGGAGTTGATCCAAATTGATGTTTATTCACTTATTGTTCTCCAAACCACATTGTTAATTTAATATATCCTTATGCTTTAAATTATAACATGTTACACTATCTGCAAGCTATGTCTCGGAACATGCAAGGGTCACGTCCGTTCACTTCGGAATATGGTGAACGTCTCTCTTTTTGTGGAATGGCTTGCACACCCTATGCCGGGAATTCGAAAAAATCGAATTCTCCATGGTGTGGACATACACACGTCATCCCATGTTCTGTAAGGAAGTTTGAACGAGGCAACTCAATCATAATGGCCCTCATTCACAGGCAACTGTAACAAGTTCTAACCTGTCCTTCTCATTGCCTTCCTTTTAGGCACGTCCGGTTCCCTGTACCCGAGCTAAATTTATGACTGCTCGTAAATGTCAGAACTCCGGACTCCTTGGTCCTGCCAGAATCGAGAAATTTCAACATAAACACCGTATTGCACATCCCAGACAATGAAATACGATATTATAGATCACAATAAAGTTCCAGTAATATCAAAACATAAGACTTGAAATTAAAATTACCGAGAATTAATTAGAAATAAATTTCATGGTTATCTATAATCATCCAAATAAATAAGGGCTCAGAATGATCAGCGTCAGTTCATCTGCCTATCAGTATTCTCTATTATTACCATTTTATTTATCTGAGTGTTGTAATACATTCAAAATAGTGATCTGTTCAGTGGGGCATAAGAATAAATGTAACAAGGTAGAAGAACGTGTATTTTTTGACTCTCCTAATTTGCAAAAGATCTTTAAGTGATGGAACAAGTTGAATGACATTTATGAAATCATCATAGCAAAATTATAGAAAGTTTTTTATTAGAATGAGCTGTTGTAAAATTTAGATTTGCAGAGCAGTGTTGTTCTTAAGACAGAAACTGCCTTACATGTGCACATACACAAAATTGTTAAAAAGGTATAATAATTTCCCCCTTCATTATACATATATATTTTTTTTAATTCACTTAGTGGGGGGTGGAGTCCAATTGGGTCCACTTGGCATGTCGGCCACTGATTGGCTTATTGTAGCCTGTCCCGGGTGATTATGATGATGGAGAATTTGGTGGAATGAAGATTGGCAGGGGAAACCGAAGTACTTGAAGAAAGCCCGCCCCATCGCCACTTTGTCTACCACAAAGCCCACTTGACCAGATCCAGGATCGAACCTGGGCTGCCATAGAGGGAAGCCAGCGACAAACAGCTTGAGCTATGGTGCGGCCACATTATACATGTTAATCTGAAGCTTTTAAAGTATTCATTTACCTTTGGACCTCTAGCAGCATCACTGGTAGGATTAATTGCAAGATGCACACCCATCACCTGATGTACACGAGATCCATACAGATTGTCACCCAACACTGGACTCATCAAGTGTGCAAGGTACACACGAAGGAAATGCCACTTGGTAGCAGATGGGCATATCTCCACTAGACTTGCCAAGTTATTTTTGCACAGTGTGTGATGATGTACTTTAAACACCTTCACATCTCCTCGTTTCATAGCGTTCTTTGACCAGTCACGTACCACTATAGGCTGCACCAAAGAACTTAATATTACCTAATGTGTCACAAAAGTAATATTCATGAAACAATTTAGAGTTATGCCTGAATTAATATGAAGCATCAAATATCCCCCCACACAGATGATACAATATAAATGACACAACTCTGATTATCAAATCAAATTTAACACAGAACAAGTGAAGCATCCCATCATAAACACAGGCATTTACAGGCATACGTTTTCTTTCTGAAATGAGAAGCGAGCATATTCAGCAAATGAACCTACAGAATAAGCTGTGTCGAAATCCCAGCAGTCACCCAAAGACACAATATGCTCATAAGTAGTCTTCATGATGCAGTTTCCAATTTTCAACTCCAGGGACTGCAATGTGCTAGAATTTCAGTGTGTTACACTAAGCCATTCTTGCCATTCATGATCCAATAAAAAACACAACCTGATTTCTATAACACATAGCTCCCGAGTATTATGAGCTAGAGAGCTGGAACTTTGTTGTTTACATGGCACCACTATAAAGAGACCCAGCATAATACCTGCCATCTATTCAATTTTTCTCCATTGCATGTGCTTAGGCAGGAATTTCAGATAACTTTGTGTTTGAATTTCCATAAAATGGTGCAAAATAGTTCAAATTTATATAAGGGTGTTTTTTTTGGATTTCATTAGCTGAAAATCTTAGTAATATGATGCACATACAACATAATATTAGTTGCAATGTAAAGCATTTAGAATTACACAGCTGAAAAAACTAACCAAGGTAGGTTACACCACAGCAGATAAACTTCCCCATGCAAGTCGTTAGAGACTGACTTAACTTTATACATACTTGTTTGTCATTATCTATAGTGGGATTCTCTTTAAATGTCAATCCTAATTTTTGAATTGCTGAATCTGTCTGAGGATTTCCGATAACAACAGCCCAGTAATAAGCACATGACTGCAGACGACCACTGGCTTTCTTCATACATGTTCTGACTTTGTCCATCACTTTGTTGCATGATGACAGCACTGTTACTCCACTTGTATACCTATGGAAACAAATATCAGTCAACATTAAGATTACAGTCATTTGGAAGGTGACACTGTGTAGCCTGGTAGATAAGCACTAACATTTCAAAGCAAGCTGCTGCCTCCAGATTATGCTCTTGAGAGAAATTATGGTATGTAATGTGATAGGTACACATTTTGGAAGAGTCTGCTGATACACGAAATTGCTTTCTCCAAAAATGCTGACACCTATATATCAGACAATGTGATATGACATAATAGGAGACCATAATCTTAATATTTTCTGCTATGAGGACCTAAAATCTGCCAACATGAGGATCTATGGGCTTACAGATTGTTTTGGATGTAAGTGGAAAAGTAAGGAAGTAAAACATGAGACAAATGTTTTGTGCATTACTATGCAGTTAAGAAATATGAGTTCAAGTATGACCCTGACAAAACAGGACAGAATATCACAAAGTTCTTTCTCATCTCAATCAAGTAATATATCTATAAAGTTATAAGGGGAAAAAAATATAATGGCTCATTAAAAACTACCATGTACCGATGCACGCTAAGATACTGGAGGGGAAATGCTAGAATTAATTGCCACCTGCTTTTATATGGGCTTCTCATTCCAATCATTATCTCTTCCAACAGTGAAATTCACTTGTGGACACAGCAAATGGGGAATCCCCTAATTTAACCGATTCAACCACATTAATTGGAGCATAATTGATATTATGCAAGATTATCATTGCTACCCGGATTCTGTTGTTTGACATTATGCAAGATTATCATTGCTACCTGGATTCTGTTGTTTGACATTATGCAAGATTATCATTGCTACCTGGATTCTGTTGTTTATCCAGGACGTCTAGATACTGACAGTGATGCATAAAGAAAAAACAAAATAAAATATGTGAATGAAACTTTTCCAGGAAAGTGAACTGTTCAATGATGTCATCTGCTGGTGACTGAGATCAACAATACCATTAGGGTACTTACATTATAATAACTACAAAGGGCTATGTGGGACTAAAACAAGAAACTGTTATGCAAATTTGCGAGGGGATCTGCTTAAACAGTACCCACTTGGGGGAAACAAGAAAGAGATGGTTAAAACTGTCTCTGTTAAATCTGTTCACAGGTCTTAAAAAGCATATATTAAGAATCATGCAAACATCCTGTACATTTACATTCCCTCAAAAGGTGTCAAAGTCATCCGTAAGATTCATGGGGATTACCTGAGATAGTGAACCTCTTTCACTGAGCCTCTGTCCAAACTATATAATTCAGTTACCTCCAGCTTCACTAGGGTTTCTTCACACACCTTTTCACACATGAAAATAACAGTCACCTATACGGTGAATTGCTGAGGGACACTCATTCTGGAAAAACTCTAAGACTTTTAAATCCCACATGAAAAGTTTAATGTATACAGAAACTGGAGAATTTTGATATCCAGCAAATATGACATTGCTACTTGGATTCTTATTGTTCAACTTCATCACCCACTGGATGGCTGTTAAATGTTATTGAACAAATGTTGAAATAATTTATTTGTTGATTAAGAGATGCAATAAGCGGCCTCCATAGTCTAGGGGTAACGTTCCCACCTCATGACTCTAAGGTACGCAGGTTCAAACCCGGCAGAGGTCGTGGAATTTTTAAGGGTGGAAAAATTCAGGGAACAAGTCCTCCAGGAGGGACTTTAAGCCGTGGGTCCCGTGTCGTAGATTTACGGCACGTAAAAGATCATCATGTCTCTAGGAGGCCTCTGAGCAAAATTAGGTAAAAAGTTTCCTGCCCAAGTAGTTTCCAATGCCTCCAGTAGATGGGGAAGTATCGGGTACCACTGCCAGTAGTGAGGGCCGAACTCGCTGATAGCGAGCACCAGTACCGGAAAGGTATGGCGACTGGTAGAATATCAAAGGGGGACGTACAATAGATCAACAACTGGTCGCGGTGCATGGGAAAACCCACTCCCTCCAATAATAAATGAATGAATGAAGAAGAGATGCAATATACTTAAAAGGAAGCTCTATGATAATCGCACTACACTTATTTTGATATCTGTGAATCAAGTTCATATATGTATTTTGAGAAAACAAAATCATACCAAATGGAATGGAATAAGCAAATTGAAATATTATTTACAATGAAGTGCAATTCCAGAATATAACAAAAAGAATGTCCCCTGGCATAAAAGAAAAGCACAAACCGCTCTGGTATCTTCAGGACAGTTAAACTGTTATAGCCCAAATTTCCGGCAATGTGTGGTAGAGCCTCTGTTAGATAGTACTGGCTTTGGCCAACAATCATCTTATCTGTGTGCCTTGAATGCTGTGCTGATGGTGTGGGTGAAGGTGACAGTCCTATTCCATATGGCTTGTTTAGTACCAAGAGGCCATCTGAAATATACATACAAATATAGTACAATCACAGAACCTTCCTTCCTTACATAACCATTTATGGGCTCTTTGTACCTGAACTGCATGAAACGGTGTATTATTTGGCGTGATCAACACACTGTTTTTTCTCTGCAATAACTGTATTTTCCCTCCACTTCATGCTGTACCCTTCAAAGCAGTTTTGGATTTGGTATGTAGCAAGTACTGTACAAGTCCTGATTTTTTAACTTGGCAAGTGAAGCCTGGAATTGTTCTTTAATTGTGAAGATGTCATCAGAATTCCTGCCCTCCAATTCTGAAATGATGAAAAAACCACACAAGCAATTCTGGAGTCTCTCCATAATTTTTCCTGAAAGTCCTGACACACAGTGACACTGTGTAACACTGCTCTTCAGACAGTAGATATGACAAATTTTGTACCAATCTTTCATTAGCAGAAAGGGACATGAATATTCAGCAGTTAATGTCATTATACTTTTGACCTTGGAAAACTAATGAAATGTTTGCATTTTCATCACCATTTCCTCTCCAAAGGCAAGTTTTAACATCTCATATGTTCCAGTAGCAGTTCTGTGTACTATGAAACACAACTTGATGCACATATGCTGTTCTTTGAAATCTGCAGTTTTCCAATAAAATTCAGATTGCACACAGCACAATACACACTATCCCTTCACAGGAGGTTGCTTCTGAGTGATGCAAGAGCAAGCAAGCAAAGCCTCTGGAGTTACTATCACAAACTAACCATGCTGATCTGACATAAACTTGTCCCCAAGGTAATTTTCAAGGGGAGACTGCCAGAAATTTTGCTTGCAAACTGAGGTTTATGCATCATGTTAGAATGGTGGACTTTTATACTGCAACACAGGCGATGCTACATTTAAAATCAGTTTAAGTTTTGGCATTTCATTTAATCACCTTCCATAAATCCTGTCGAGAGTACATTCTCATGCGGATGTGGAGATCGTCCTAGTTACAGTCACAATTTAGAAATACAGTTGTCATCCAGTAGCATACACATTTGTAATACAATACTGATAAACATATACAATATAATAAAATAAGTTAATTTTAGTAGTAAGATCAATGGCAAACCTTATACAATTCGTACAGTTTTATACAAGTCATTAATATATTGCATTACTTCCTTCTTTTTTAATTTTGATTTCTTTATCAAACATCCGACCGCCTCTGTGGTCAGAGGTCCGGGTTCGATTCCCGGCGCTACCAGATTTTCTGAGGAGTAGTGGGTCTGGAACGGGGTCCACTCAGACTAGTGAGGATTACTGAGAAGCTGTTTCAAGGAAATTGCGGCTCTGATCTAGAAAACCGAAATTAACGGCCGTGGGGGCTCGTTGCGCTGACCATGCGACAGCCTCTATCCGCTAAAGTTGGCACCAACTTCGTCGACATCTGGCGGTCGTTCGGTCGGTATAGTTCGCTTGCGGACTAAAACCACGGAGTTTCTTTTTCTTACCAAACATCCAGTGCACGCCCCTGCTGACCATTACAAGACAATATTCATTGACATTACGAGCGCACGCAATAAACTCGCTTGATACAATAACAGTAAATACCAAAAGTTCACTTTACTTGCCTTTATTATAGATTACATTTGATGTGAGAAAATCCGAAAAATGTTTCAAACTCCTCCATACGTTGTGTTTTTGATACTCATGACACTGCCCTCGATTTTCAGTTCTGTACCTTGAACAGCATCGACAGTTAAGTACACCTACATTTCTAGACGTTATTCGTAATCTTGCTAATGTCATTCTACAATTTTCCTATCTTAACACGGCGTGAGTCTCACCATCTTCTGCCGTCGCTTACGTCGCTTACTTCTCTCACACAGCTGTACGCGGTTCTTACCGTTACTACCGCTACCAACCTCAGTATTTTTGCTCGAAAACCGCACTTTAATTACTTGTCACTCTTGTGTAAACTGAAAGGCATTCAGCGCATCAGCCTTGGCTACTAGCGTCCTCTTTCAGGAATAATAGTAAAAATAATGGGAATGTGTAGTCGGTTTATATAATTAACTATAGACTATTGTAGATACCACCAAGGAATCTTTCTCTTCCATTAAGACGATTAAGCCGTTTTTCGGTGTCTGATGGCTGAAGTTGGCCATGTGAGAATGTGGTGTGTAGCTGAAGTGAGTTCTTCTAGGTTATGTGTCGTATTTATTCAAGAAAAATGAGGAATTTGTTTTTATATCACCACTTACGTAGTGATTTTCAGACCATTAGTAGCATTCAATGCTTTTGTATCACTGGTCATTCTGAAGGAGCATATGTTTGCAGTGATAACGTAATTTACAAGTTATCAGCTGGAAGTGAACAATTGGAAACTTTGTGCAGCCTTCATGAATATTACGACACATACATTCCTACGGTTGTACATATAAGTTTCAGTTCAATAAGAGAATGTATCTGCCTGGCATTTAAAAATGGGGATGTTTTAACAATTGAGTCTGATTCCAAAGAAATACAGTGTGTGGGATGTGTAGAGAGCGGTTTGAAAGCAATACAGTGGAGCCCTGATCAAGAAATAATTGTTATGGTAACCGGTCAGGACACAGTCATAGTTATGACTGGAACTTTTGATCCTGTTACAGAGGTTGATCTCAATCAAAATAATTTTGGAGAAAAACAGTTTATTACTGTGGGATGGGGAAAGAAAGAAACACAGTTTCATGGGTCAGAGGGCAAAGCTGCAGCTCGTGCTGTTCCAAAGCCATTTAAACAAATACCAATTTTGGATGATGGCCAGCCCCGGATTAGTTGGAGGGGAGATGGAAGCCTCTTTGCTGTCAGTACTGTCAACCCAGAATCAAACTCTCGCCAGATACGTATATTTTCACGTGATGCAGTATTACAGTATACAAGTGAGCCTACATCAGGGTTGGAAGAAGCTCTTTCTTGGCAACCATCAGGCAGTCTTATTGCTTCATCACAGAGACTACCAAATAAACATGTTATTGCTTTTTTTGAAAAAAATGGGCTCCGACATGGAGAATTTTTGCTACCATTTGCCCCAGATGAATGTAAGATACGCCTTCTTTCTTGGAATTCTGAATCAACTATACTTGCTGTGTGGTGTGAATACACTACAGGTAAAATGTGTCTCCAGTTTTGGACAGTGAGTAATTATCATTGGTATTTAAAGCAATGCCTCAGTTTCTCACCTGAAAGGAAGCTTTTGGGAATGGAATGGGACATGTTGCATGGGAATCGACTTCATATAATGTGTGAAGGTTTGTGCTATATGTGCTATGATTTGTGTTGGATTACAAATTGCAGCATAGGCAATACAGAAAATGATGGAGCCTTTGTGGCAGTAGTGGATGGAGGTAAGAACAAAAATTTAAATACTTATGTTATATTCCTAATATTGTATTTACTAGATGGTTTTTCATTTTTGTAATGTCTTATTTATTAAACATTTTCATTTTGAATTTTTCATGATTCTCTTTTGTTTTGTAGCTAAAATTCTCTTGACCGCATTTCGACGTGGAGTTATTCCACCACCATTATGTGGACAAACACTGCAGGTGGCATTGCCAATAAATAGTGTAATATTTGCACCCTGTAAGAAAGTAAACAACAGTTGTGCCACAGATAAACAAGATGATTCCAACTTCAATTCAAATGATTTGTGCACTATTTTGTGTGACGGAAGTGTGGTAGTGTTTACTGAGTCATCATCAACTAAATGTCATATACTGTTAAATGCTTGTAACTTGAATGATGAAAATGCAGCAGACTTACACCACTGGTTGTGGATTAAAGAAGATACATTTCTTTGTTGTCGCACACATGGCAGAGTTTCATACTTAGTGGAAATATCACTTGATCTCCATGCAGGGAAAATGAGTATTAGGTAAGATAAGTAATTTTGTTTTAATTATTGCCATCATTCTTGTAGATCATTGGTTGGTGTATACTGTTACGTTTTATGACTGTATGCAGTGTAGTAACTGTACTGTTAATTAATTCAATTTGTGCCTGTGTATCAAAATCAGTAAGGGCTACAAAGTCATGAGGAACACATTGGGAACCATGGGTACTTGGAGGAGTACACTGTTCTACTTGTGGCTTTGTATTCCTGGTCTGTTGTAACTGTTTCACTTACAAAGAATTTGTGAACCAAGTAACATCATCTGTATTTCAGAAAGGAAATTCCTGCTGGTGGTATAGTTTGTTCTATTGTGTCAGCACCAGACAGCTCAGGAGCTGTTGTACAGCTAGCAGATGGCACTTTGTTGATCTATAGTTTGGATCAAAATGAAATGGTGAAGTATTTGACACCTCTTCCTGAAGCATGTGAGACATTACAGGTACTATAATGATGCTTTTGTTTAGAATCTATGCTGTAATATACGTTTTCCATTGACATTCATTTGGCTAATGTCTGAACTCTTTAGTTGTTTTTCTTTGATAATTCTAAATTTTTCGTTAATAAACTTCATGATAATTTGAAATATTATAAAGGCATACCACAAAACTGATTTTCATTTTATAAGGAGCCTTGTCAATGATTTCTGCTATGAAGCAAGTGGTTAGTTGCTGGCTTCCCAGCATGGTGGGCCAGGTTCAAGCCCGGGTCTATTCATGTGGGATTTGTGGTGGACAAAGTGGTGTTGGGGCAGGTTTTGTCTGAGTACTTCAGTTTCCCCAGCCAATCTTCATTCCACCAATTGCTTCACAGTCACCATCATCTATCATCTGGAGCTGGTAGAATAGGCCATTAATGGCCACAGTACCAAGTGAACTCAGTCTTACCCCACTAAGAATTAAAAAAGAACTGTCGGGCAGCATGCCAAGTTGATTTGCGTGGTCTGGGAATTAAAGCAGTTTGAATTGTACTCATCTGAGCTTTAGTGACTGTCTCTTGGCGCTTTTTCCTTTGCAGATGCAGCCAGTCAGATCAAACAATTTTTACCACTTATAAATTGACATTTTTGTTGATGATTGCCTTCCAAACACTGTATGAAATCTCCTTTGCACTGTAAGCACAGTTCTAGACTCATGAAACCACAGGATGCATATAGCTTTTTGTACTTGTGATGCCATTTTTACAACTATGTGTAGTTCTTCAGGTGAATGATTTGGAAACTGAAGAAGCACAAATTATAAAATTGATCATGTAACCTACTCAGATGTGTTTAGTTTTCATTTTTGTGCCTTTTTACATCTTGCACTCCAAAGAGGACAGCATGGAATAGAGAGCAGAGAAAGAGAATACAATCTGGAGGTGATTGATTGCGCCACTTACAAATATGGGTACCTTTGTAACTAGTTAGGTTTGGCAGTGTGCTTCTTTGTTGAGTTCATATTAAATTGGTATTTAATTTAATATTAGCTCTAAATTCAAGTTCATTTCATGCCACAATTTCTTGTACATACTTAAAACTAATTTCAGACATCAGAGAAAATTGTTATATCCTGATTTAGTGTTTGTGCATTCAATGAAATCCCACATTGTTGAACAGTTTTCTGGTCCCAAGCAAAGCTTAATATAGCAGATGCATTACAAATATTTTCTCATATTTGAAGAACTTTATTTAGTAAATAACCTGCATTTAATGTCAGAATTTTTCAACCACCCAAAATCTGTTCTTTGATTTGGCGCAGTTGAGTATATCAATTCATATTCATATTTTCTTTTCTGCTGAAAATTGTTATGTAAAATGATGTCACAAATTGGTGATACACCAAGGTCATACTGTATGTGGCATCATAGTTGCTTTGATTCTCAGATGAAGTTCTTTGAGTGTTTATTACATGTCATTAATGTCATTAGTTATTTTACTATTAAATAGATGAGATTTAAAAACCTATGCACTGGCATAGGTTTTTCCCTCTAATTATCATTCTGCTAGTGCTCCATTCTTTTCTCTACTATCTGGGACTTGTACAGTAGGCCCATTTGCAGGTTGATAACCAAACAACTTGATGTCACCCCACTGCAAATAATAAGTAAGAAAAGTCATTCTCTCAGAGGTCCCTCAGGTTTAGAAGATGGAATGCTGAGTGTTTGTTATTCCAGCACTAAACACAGATTTGGGAATAATAATACCAATAATATGTATTTTTTTTTCCATGTGGAAGAAAACTTCTTCTTCAAGAAATATAATGTAAACCTGGTTTGTTTGTAGGTCAGTCATATAGATGGCAAGGATATATCACTGGGACTCAGTAGACGTAATCGCTTATATGTGGATGGTCAAGAAGTGGCCAACAATGTGACATCATTTGTGGTACATTCAGAATTCATTCTACTGACAACTCTGAAGCATGTGCTCTTGTGTGCTCGCTTAAATGACAAGGGTTTGCAGTCATTAATAAGAGGGCAGTGTGGGCCAGGGCGGCGCATTGAGAGAGGCGCACGACTGGTGACATCTGTTGCAGGAGGTACTTGTGTTGTACTGCAAATGCCGAGGGGGAATCTAGAATGTATTCAACCACGCCCTCTTACACTACATGTTGCAACTGTTCATCTTGACGCTGGACAGTATGGACCAGCTTTTCAGCTGCTCCGAAAGCAACGCATTAATCTGAATCTCCTATGCGACCACCAACCTATGGAATTCTTAGCAAAAATTGAGCATGTTATAAACGAACTAAGAGATCCTGCATGGCTGTCATTGTTCCTGTCTGAATTACAGGAAGACAGTGTGGCACATAGTATGTATAAGGAATACTATGCACATTTGGATCAGCTACCTGCCACACTGAATAATAAGGTTTGCATTTGATTTATTACTGTTTTCAGTTTTGAACATTGCAAGAAGTATTTATCTTTATTTTTTATTGTACTTTTAAATGTAATTTTATTATATAATTACTTGTGATCCCCTCCCTTTCGTGTCTCCTGCCAGTTCACTGAATTCCAGACACAAAGACCACAATCCCATGACTTACTGTGAAGCTTCTATTAAAGTACATAGGTGAGTCAAATGAAAACCGTAAAACTGAGATAAGAATTCAAAATATTGCGCCATTGTCCTATAAGGTGGCAGAACGAGCAAAGAATGGCATCATCCCTCATCACCAAAACCCAAGAAGTTCCGGATGCAGCCATCTGCAGCGAGGATTATGCTGACTCTTTTGGGATGAACGAGGCATACTCTTGGAGCACTGCACGCCTCAGGGGAACACTATCACCAGTGCCTCATATTGAGATCTCCTGAAGAATCATTTTCAACCTGTGGTCAGATCAAAGCAACGTGGACTTTTGACTAGAGGTGTCCTTTTGCAACATGACAGTGCTTGGCCCCATACTGCCCGTGCAACAGTTGCAACGATCCAAGACTTGCACTTTGAGTGTCTTCCACATCTGCCATACTCACCAGACCTAGCCCCAAGTGATTACCATGTGTTTGGGCCACTCAGAGAGGCGATAGGAGGAAAGAAGTTTCGTTCTGATGGAGAGGTACAGCAGGCGGTGCATGAGTGGTTGCGCAGACAACCACAAGAATTTTTTTTCTAGAGGAATCCATACACTTTGTAAACACAGGAGGGCCTATATTGAACGAAATGGAGACTATGTAGAAAAATGATATAATTGTGTACTGCTTTCATTCAATAAATTAAATTTAAAAAAAAAATTATGGTTTTCATTTGACTCGCCCTTGTAATGTGCATGTTAACATAAAATAACTTAATGGAGATGACTGTCATTGTTGCACAGAGATCGTTCACAGTGTAGAAACATTATTTGTTTGGTGTTCATGCACTGCTGTTTCTAGTTATATACAGGGTGAATTGTATAGAACCGGCCCGATGAATTTGCTAATAATTCCACAGGTGATGCATATAACCGCTCACAGTTACGACATAATAATCCGTGGGCCGTGCTGAGTCGAATGGTGTGCTCATGATCGGCAAGTGGCAGCCCTTATCCTGCAAGGTCAAGGACAAAGCCGAAACGTGTCTGCAGTACGCAGGCGACAGTCATGGAGTACACTGTTGAACAGCGAGTGTTTCTAATGCCTACTTGAAAACGGCGGACACTTTCAACACCTGCACACAATCCAAGTAATATATGTGTAAATTACTTTAATATCTGTATGGTGTACTTTATATTACACCTCATTTCGTCGGGCCGGTTCTATATGAATCACTCTGTATTATCACATACTAAATTCCATCACTTTAATTTTATAGGTCCAGGCGGTGTGTGATGCAATGCGTGATGCTATGTTGTGCCGGGAAAATGCAGACCAATATCTACTGCCTATACTTACTAGCTGTGTTCAGAAACAGACAGATAAGGATCTAGAAGATGCATTGATTAGAGTGAAAACAGTGAAAGAAGCAGAGAGAAAGAATGCCAATCTTATGGTATCAGCAGATGATGCAATGAAGTATCTCCTGTACCTGGTGGATGTAAATCGCTTGTATGATGTTGCACTGGGACTTTATGACTTTGATTTAGTTATGCAAGTTGCTGCCAAGTCAAACAAGGATCCTAAAGAATATCTGCCCTTCCTCAACAAGTTACGCAGGTCAGATTTTAACATTACAAGAGTAAGGTCCATCAGTGTCATGTTGCAAATATGTTACCATTGATGCAAAAAGTTTTTTTATTAACATTGGAACAAATTCTGATGTATATTTACTTAATATTTTGTTTTATTATGTTCCTTTTCTCTGGTACTGAGGAATAGGTTGCATTTCTGTGGTTTTTATCAGAGCCTTGTTACTGACACAGTTATGGGATTTAAAATGTAGTTTTTATCAAAGGTTTCTTTTCTAGTAATTTCCCAGCCCTTTCACAATATTTGTTTTTCTTTGCTTCTAAGAAATGGTTCATAGGTAACATACATAACATAAATTATCTAAAAGTTATGTATATGCCTAAAACAATAGTATGAAACGTCTTAAAGCATATTCACATTTAATGCAGACTTCATCTCCCCATGCCTCTGTCCATTTTTACAAATGGCGTGTGGTGGAACTGACATTGCCTAATATCCATTACAGAGTTATCATGGTGTAATCACTGTCTTGTATGTAGGCAAGCTACTCCTTAAACTTAAGTTAGCTTAGTTTTAAGCGAATTTGACTTTGAGGTTGTATCAATTAATTGCTGTGTCAACAGTCATGCATAATCAATGCAGTGAAGTCAGCTTGAACAATTTGAGCCTTAGTGCGTTTGAAGGCCACCTTGTCACCCTTGTCTTGCACATGTATATAAACTTTCATTTGAATTATATTTTATATTCACTTATATTTACCATAGTCCCAGTGATTTGCCTTTGAATGGTACCTTTTGAAACATTCCCCGAAACAAAGACCCACATCACAATTCTGTGTAATGTACTTTGCTTCTGTTTGCCTGATATTGCACTTGTTTCCATCTCTGCACATCCTGTTTCTTTGCTGGAAATTACCTTTGGTTTTACATCATGTAAGTGGGATTCTAGGTGGAAGATCTGTTTGCAATGGTTTCAGGTTTTATAATCATCTCTGTCCTTGTGCAATTGAGTAGTCCTGCAACATTTTTGCAGAACTACTGGAGCCACATTTACTCATCACTTTTGTTGCTGTATGTGGTCTGATTTACTATTGCAAGGTGAAAGAAAGGAATGAAAAATATTTCCTACCATTTCAGAAAATTGATTTGAAAAGACTAGGGTAACGTAAGCTGATCAGAATTATGAACTCCAGTTTTATGTTTATTATAGGTGAACCCTGCTTCTGGTGATTCATGTGATAATTGTGCCTAAATTATTTGAAATCATAAAAAAGTTCTCCATGATGTTATTTTTGTATTGTGAAGTGTCAGTAGTGTCTGTGCTTGCTGTGGATGCTAGCAAGGAGGGCAAACTAGGCATCTACCCCTCCCTGGATTTGAAACAAAAAGTCAAGAGCTAAAGACCAGTGTTTCAAAGACCACTGTCTGCATCGTCATGATTGGCCCTAATATTTGAGACTGTGAAGGTCTCCAAAATGTTTGTTTAAATTGTTTTATGATCTGATACATGTAGGTAACAGGACTTCCCTACAAATTCATTTAGGCATATGAGTAAAATGGCAGCTGCACTTGGTCATTAGCTTCAAGTAGCTCATTTCTTGAATGAAATGAAGTAAAATTGTGTATGTCTGTCTGTAGTAGTTAACATTGTATATGCTGTTAAATTGTTTTCCACATACGGCACAGATTGCTTTCACAAGTGAAATAATTTGTTTAAATTTAATGTTTTTTACTCAGTGATTTGACCATACAAGACAAACCAAACAAGACAAGTCATTGTAAAATACTTCCTGGCTACTGCTCTGAAACACTTTCAGATGTTTAATGAGGCTTGTAAAACTGTAATTCTCTTGCCATACTTTTAGGCTTTGAAATTTATATGTAAATTAATATGGNTTTTCGAGCAAAATTTAAATGGCCGGCTGAATATATTACCGCAGGAGCCGCGGCCGCGGAATTTAAATGACCACGTCAAAGGGTTAATATGGATAAAAATAGAGATGGCATTTTGCTAATTGAAATTAACTGTGAAATATGCAGTGGCGGCTCGTAGCTGAAATTAGTGGGGGTGCTGCTCCAGAAAATTTGTAGTCTTTGTTTTAAAATTGTATAAAAGGAAACAAACATGTATAAAAAGAGAATTTATTCAGAAACTTGATAAAATCCTAAAAAAACAAAATCAAACATTTTTTACTTACTTTAACCTAAATTGTTACAGTTCAAGCTTATTCTATTCATTTAAAAATGAAATCCATTCTTTTTAACCTTTATATTATGCTCATTGATTGAAAGTCTGTATGCCTCACTAAGTTTCTCCTTAATACTTACGGTTCCTAAAAGTGACAGTGAAACTACATTATCAACGTGCTTCTTTGACTTCTCATGCTTTTCAGTTTTTTCTTTCATTTTGTTTATATTTCTAAAACCATCTTTTGTCCACGTTACATCACCCCCAAACAGCAAACACGGGAAGCAAAACAGTGCATTTTTTACTTCACAGCCGCAAAGCCAACTTTTCCGTTTGTACCATTCAGAATTAAAGCTACGAATATATTTCTTGTTCTTGCTTATGCCTGGCTGAGATATTAGAATATCAGGTGTTAAACGACCTCTTTTCTTAACTGCAACTTTCTCATGGAGAGACAGTTGTGAAAACTTAAGCTGTTGAAGTTCACTTACAGTCACATAACTTATTTCTCGGGGATGCAAGGCCATGGTTAAAGTTTTCCGTTAAATAAAATAACGGAAAAAATGAATCAAATAGAATAGCTGGAAGCAGGATAATATCTAATTCTACNTTTCTAAAACCATCTTTTGACCACGTTACATCACCCCCAAACAGCAAACACGGGAAGCAAAACAGTGCATTTTTTTACTTCACAGCCGCAAAGCCAACTTTTCCGTTTGTACCATTCAGAATTAAAGCTACGAATATATTTCTTGTTCTCGCTTATGCCCAGCTGAGATATTAGAATATCAGGTGTTAAACGACCTCTTTTCTTAACTGCAACTTTCTCATGGAGAGACAGTTGTGAAAACTTAAGCTGTTGAAGTTCACTTACAGTCACAGAACTTATTTCTCGGGGATGCAAGGCCATGGTTAAAGTTTTCTGTTAAATAAAAGAACCGAAAAAAAAATGAATCAAATAGAATAGCTGGAAGCAGGATAATAATCTAATTCTACAATTAACTCATATTTTTTAAGCACAACACACGCGGAGTAAAAAAAAAAACTACCTTCCACCAGCACGCCAGGGTCGGCACCGGTCGGCACTGTCGTTCCTGCAGTGCTCCCTCTCCCTTGCAGCCTCGCGTGTAGCTTCCTATGTGCGCATGCGCACAGTCAACGAACACCTCGCCGCTGGAACTGTGAAACTCACAGTTCCATACAAAGATTTGGCTACTGACATTAAGCTTAAGGATTATATATTGTATTGTACAAGTATAAAGAATTAAAGAAAAAAAGGACTCATTATATAAATGTTATCGATAATATCAAGTGGAAATTGGGGGTGCTGCAGTTCCACAGTGCCTATACGCGGGCCGCCCCTAGAAATATGTAAACTTGAACTATCCTTCGGACACAGGATGAATTGATCTTGGGGTTCCCTTTCTTTCCTTACTATGAATTTTATAATTATTAAAATATTTTTAGCAAAGATAGAGTATTAAATATTGTATTTCATGGAGATACTTTGATTTAACATACTACACTGGCTGTATTGAACATAAAAATGGTATGTTACGGATATGAAACCTTCTCTGCCACCTCTTTTAATGTGTTTCAGGATGGATCCAAATTATAGCTACTTTGTCATAGACAAACATTTGAAACGATTTGAATCGGCCCTTAATCACATTGCACTCTGCCAGGGAGACGAATATTTTGAAGAGTGTCTGAACCTTGTAAAGACACACAAACTTTATTCAAAGGTAAGATTTCACATGTACAAATGTAAAGGTAAACTTTGACTGAGATAATTAAAAAAAAAAATATTAATTATATTTTATTTGATGATGATGTACAAACAGCAGAGGTTATGTAGCATCTGTTGAAATATGAGGATGCAAAATGATTTGGGAAGTGAAAGGAGGAATTATTGGTGGTGTATTGCAAGATGTACCCAAAGGAGGGAGACTGGGAAAACCACAAGAAAACTTTGTTCAGAATAAAGTCTCCCATCTAATTCTCGAACCAAATGTCCCCTTGAATACAAGACAAAATGTGCCCTTGTCTGGGTAAAGCATCGAGATTTGCCTTCCAGACTGTTGCAGATCTCTCAAGCAGCCATGGAGCAATTCTTGAATTTGTGACATATAAAACAGCAGTGGCAAGCCCATGAAAGCACCGTCTTAGTTGAGAGTGGAAGGTAAGGAGAGGCAGCATAGTGCAGATATGTGTAGAACCAGATATGAAGCAGAAAGCTCTGAGAAAAGTGAGTTAGTTCAGTTTAGGCAGAGAGAACTGTTGGTCTCAGTGTATTGTTGGTCATTGTTGTGTACAATTCTGCCTTCCAAATAAGGGTAGACAGTGGGTAGCTACCTGGAGGATTATCAGGCAAGAGTGGGTACCTGTGCTGGATTTTCGTGGCGTGGCAGGCCCAGGCATGGTGAAGCTAATAGAAATATTGGAGGCTGCTTCAAGTTGACAATACTGAGTTCAGTGGTTTTAGCTGTTTTATTAGTGATTGGTGGAGTTGAACAAAATCCTGGTCCTGAGATTGTCGTGCAGGCAGTATGTAGTGGATGCGGCAGAAATCTGGAATCCAGTATGAATCGTGAAAACATTGGTATCATTATATTTGTGGAAATATGAAGGTTCTGGTGCCTGAGAGAGAGAGAGAGAGAGAGAGAAGTGGAGTTTTGATAAGTACCGGACTGAAAGGATTCGGATGTTGCAGGAGGTATTGCAGAGCGCATTGTGTCAAGTTGATGAGCTGAATTCTAGAAACAATGAGCTTCAAGAAAAGTTACAACTGGCGGAAGCTGTGAAGTGGGATACAGTGGTGAAATGGAAGGATGCTAAGACACAACTGCGGGAGCTGGGGTGAGGGCTACAGTGGCAAAACAGAAAGATGCTAAGTGCATGGTGATAGGTGACTCAAGGTTGAGCACTGTTGGAGGAGAACATACAACAACGACGTGCCTTAAGAGTACTATTTGACCAAGTACACAGTGCAGTAGGCTCCTTTAAAAAATGTCTTGCCTGAAGATGGCCCTGTGCAGCTGAAACATGTTGCATAAACATTGAATGTACATATATTTTAATGAAATTTCTAAACATTTAGCAAATATTTTAGTGAATTAAGTGTGAATTAGTGTAGTTTAAAATTTAAATTGATGTTGTTGCATTATAGATGGAAAATAAGACTACAAGATATTCTAGTTGTGTTCTCTCATTAGTTCATTTATAACATGCTGCTGTTTTTAAAAATTTCTTCACAGTGATTTGTTTTAATCCTCTTCACATGTTTCAAGTGTATATTGTAATGTTGATTCCAGGCCCTTGATATTTTCCCTAAAGGAAGCCCAAAGTATCTGGATATAGCAACCATTTATGGAGATTATCTTATGGACAAGAAGTTATATCATGAAGCAGGTGTCATGTACACAAGAGCTCAGGAATACCAGAAAGCACTGGCAGCATACCAAGTAGCTGGAGACTGGAGAGAAACATTACTTACTGCAAATCAGCTGCAGTATAAGTAAGTTTGTTTGTTAAAAGACATTTTTGCATGTGATTAATGAACAGATATGCCTGAAATACACACTGATATTTGATTTTGGACTTTTAAATGAGTACCAGGAATTAAATAATTTTCCTGGGGAGTAAAGTGTGGCCGGCTGACAACCTTACCGCCATCTTTGAGCCGATTGTCTAGATAATGTGGGAACCTCAAAGTCTCACAACCCTATGGGCCTTCACGGCCTGGTACAGGGATAGCTTTACTTTACTTTTATACTGGTCTGACACTAATATTGATCCTGTTTTGTGGTGAGGAGGGGGGTTTGCATTGCTGATGTTTCAATAATCCACTCTGTCTCCATCTTCAATGCAAGGTAACTACCCCATATTCAATGACAGTGTACATCAACCGTTTAGTCCTCAAGTGATAGCCAGTAGAATGTGGAGCAGAAAAATAAACTTAGAAAGAGCCGGTCTCTTTGCTGGGGAGTACGAGTGGTATGTGTGAGAAACCTGTATGGAGGAAGATGTAGGCTGTTGCGGGCAGGAGTAGGACAAATAGTGCAGAAGTAGAAATAAAAAGGGGACCAGATCAAATATGAAATGATGGTACTGAAGTGAGTGCTGATAAGGAGCTTGTAGGTCATGGAAGGTTGAGGTGTCCTCTCTGTTCCTTGAGCCTGTGGATGATGGTCTTCCATGTTGAGAAGATCTTATAATGTCCTTCCGTAGAAGGTTCTGGTGTAGGCTGATTTCAGTGACTTTGAAATGGTTCTGTTGGCTTCTCATTTCTAAAAGTTTCTGATGGTGTATAAAACTCAGGATTGCTGCGTTTCTTTACTTTGCCCATCGTTCAGTGTTCTGAAAAGCTGCAAGCAACTTGGAAATATTGACTGGGCTGCAGACATATTTAAGATGGAATTTATACTGAAACTGGTAATGAGGATAAGTAATTTGGGCATGAAGTTCATGGAGGTAGGCCTAGGCCCACTGGGGCTGTAGTGCCAAGAGAAAAAAAAATTTGGGCATGGTAATTGGGACAAATAATGACTGTGGATAAGTCATGGTTCAGAGAGGTGAGATTATTTGTAGTGGGTCACTATACAATGAAGACATGTAGCAACCACAGCAGAAGCCACAGTGTGCCACATTTATTAGAGGATTACACTTATTGAATTCTTGTAGAAAAATTAATTTATGTTGCACTCGTACAATTATCGCTGTGGGGATGATGTAATGTTTTTTTTTCCCCCCCTAAATTATAATTAGAGTTATACGCTGGATGTGATTTAAGTATAACTTTGAAACAAAGAAATTACAGAATTATGTATATAAGCTGAGCTATCAAGGAACACATCCACTCCTTTGAATTCCAAAATGCCACTCCTCAGGATGCACGTATCTGTGTTGCATCCTTGTTTCGAAGGTTGAGAGGTCCTCTGACATCAGGCACTAATAAATCTCTGCTTAGCAGTTTATTTCTCTGATCAGGGCTCTTATCACCCTCACATAGAATACTACTACTAGTGGTGTTTGTGAACTAAGCGAAAATTAGTTCCAGGTAAATGGAATTTCAGTGCATGGATGCAGTTATTTCTGTCTTCAGTCATATAGGAACCAGAGTCCTTTCGAAAGTTTCCAAGATGTTCATAATATTACATTATATCTTCCTAGAGACAACACAATATAATATTCATCATAAATTCAGATTTTCAGCATAATCCAAAACATGTGGCTCATAGTAGCAATTGAAAGTGAATTGCTGTAGTTAAGAAGATCAGTCAAACCCAGTCAAGTAAAATAAAAATAAATTTAATGATTAATTTGGCTTTTAATTCTACACTGTTTCAAAATGCAGTGTTTTGGAAACTGGATCCATATCTATCCCAGGTGAAAGGGTGGGAAGCACCTGTGAGAAAGTGCTGATATCAATCACTGATGCCTCCCACCTTTTCATCTGAGGATGAAAACTCAGCAATCCATCTGTTGGCTTCCTTTCCATGGTTACATAGGACAAAGCATATTTCTGACAACGCTGGTCTTGAAATGGATTTGACACACCAAAGACAGTGAGAATGAGCATTCACCTTGGTAGATTTGTAGGGCTTTCTGCCATAGGAGAGGATCCAGTGATACAATCACAGAATTGCAGCACACAGCATCAAGTTCATATGTTGCCCTTCACCCAGGTCACTTCATGTTCTCATGCTGATCAAGAACAGATAGACGTGTACAGGCTCCCACGTGAATGTGGAGCAGTCTACATTGGAGAAACTTGCAACATGAGAGAAGACTACACAAAGGGGCTAGTAATCTGTCTTTATATCCATAATGTTTGGCAGTTGTAAAATATGTCATCAGTTCACTTCCAGTCCACTTCAAGAACACCACAATGGCAGTCCTGACAACACCACTACACCTATAGAGTTATTTGTGTAGCCACTGAAAGTAATTTGAACTGGAATTTTGACATGGAAGGAGGTTATCAGAATAATCTAGCTCATATGCTTATGCCTCTTCCTTCCACAACTTTCCTACATCAGAAACAAAGACGTCTGTACGACCACTTCAGATTGTATCGAGCCCCATAGCTAACTTTGTCTCTTACAATTTCCTTACTGTGTACTGTGTACTAAGTTGCTAGTACAGTATTCCCTAGTTGGCAGGTATTCAAAAGAAATTTGCTGTTGTTACAAAACCCGAAAGCTTATCACTGTCAATGTAAATTTCTGCCTTTAACATTCAGTTCAAATTCCCGTAATATAGTTTTCAAGGCATATTCTAGCATTATCCTTATGGATACATTTTAGTCTCCAAAGTGGTGAGATTTTCCATTTGTTCATTTCATTTCTTGCTCTTTCCAGCTATGCAAATATTGACCAGCTCACCCTCCTTGATTTAATATTCTAAGAATATTAATGAAGTAAACGTTCTAAAGTTCCCAGCTGTGTAATTTTCTCCGTTTATGTGTTATTTAGTCCTGTTTGGTTCAGATATTTTTCCTAGTACCTTCTTAAATACCTGTAATCTTAGTTGTTCCATCTAAGTGAGAAATCATTCTTTTCACCTGCTAAAAATAACATTTAGGATTGTATTTGTTTATTTATATATGGTTTATTTAATGACATTTTCAGTATCTGGTGATATATGATATAGAGTGGTTAATGAGTAGCAAGGTGGAAAGGATGTGGAAGCAAGCAGTCATGTCCTAATTTGCATTTGCATTTGTGTAGAGAGACCAATGAAAATTAGGATACCCAGTCTCTGGGCCAAGGTTTGCACCTGGCATCTCAGAAGTATGAAGATGGAGTGCTAACCCAACTCATTTATGACGTTTGGTGGAGAATTTTAATTTTATGTACTTCACCCTGGCTTTCTTACTTAACTGTTTAAATTTGTCTTTTTATGTGCACTTCTAGGGAGAACAAGTTGCATGAATTGTGCCAGGAGTTGGCGTCAAGTTTAAAAGATAGACGCCAGTTCAGTGAAGCTTCGAAGATTCTCTGTGATTATCTAGGTGATGTGGAGGAAAGCATTGCTGTATTGGCTCAAGGCAGATTGTGGAATGAGGCTGTTTGGTCTTCTTATCATCACAAAAGAGCTGATATGATAGGTAAGTATATAATGAGGAATTTGGGACTTAACAAAAGTCACCAAGCTTTATGTTAAGGAAATGAACTGAAGAGTATGATGGGCTAGACAAAAAATGATGCAGAATTTTGGTAAAGAAACATTTTGGACATTAAGACCAAGAAAAGGTAAGATATTAAGATGGATATCAGGGAAACAGGTTATGGGAATGGAACTGGAACCGGTTCACAGTCATGTTTTGCGCTAAGCTTCCTAATTAGCAATGTTGAACATATGAATTCTGTTGCTGGAGAATTAGTTATTCGTTACTATTAATTGCTTTATTATCTGACACAACCTTATGTTACAGAGACTCATGTGAAGCCAGGAATAATGGAACACTTGGAGCAGCTAACGTCCCAATTCATGAGTGCTCAAAAGGAATTCATTACATATAAAAGTAGACTAAATGTGGTGCGAACAAATAAAGAGCAGCGTCAAATAGAAGGTAAAATTTAAGCTCAAAACTGAACTTATGTGAAAATGATACAGAATTTAGATTTAAATTTTTGTTTGAAAAGTAAAGTGAATTTAACACTGGTAAGTGTAAGCGATATAGCTCCACCATACAGAGTTATTGACTTTTGGATATTGTCCATTGTCTTGTTTTTTTATTTAAAAACAATATATCGGAGACTGAACTGTGTGTCCATCCTTAGGTAAAAGCCTGCTTATTTGGGACCAATCGTTGAAGCAAGGTCCTTTCTCTGGACACCAGAATGAATACCAGACAGGATATATAAACCAAACACAACATAAACCTTCAGCAAGGATTAAGACAAACATTACAAAACTCCACACACATGAAGCCTAGCACCTATTGCCATGCATAATTTAAATGCCAGAGTCCATTAAATCAGAGTACTATCAAAATAGAAGCCAACACTAAAGAGACAAATTCTAAACGAAAAAAAAAATACAGTAGAACTTGGTTATAACATCATCAAAGGGACCTAAAAATAGTGTTGTTATAAACGAATGTCGTTGTAACCGAAATGGGCACTTCCACAGTAGCCTTATGTTAGTCACGTAAAAATCTACCAAAACAGAGTTAAAATGTTGCATTTTTTTAGTGAAATACGTAGTTAAGTACAGACTAACGTAACATTAACGTGGAATTGACCAAATGTGTAATATCAAAGACATATTACAGCGCTTTTCACTGACAATACACACATTATTTCACGAATCACTTTAACTTTCTCTTGAATGCTTAAAACTTTCCTTTTCATTGCCATGTTTTCGCTACTGCACTTCTCTGGGTTTAGGCAGGAACAGCACAGGGTAAGTAGACAATGTGAGGTCCTGTTAGACGAGATTCTAGGAAAGGAATGCAGTTAACAACTTGCCGCGTCCTCTTGCACTATTCACGCAGTCCCACCCCACACCCTTGTTTTCGCATAAAACCCACGTTCCTCTTGCAGCCCGGGGTCGTATTCTTCCAGGACAGTCACATCAGCAAGTAGAGAAAGTGAGGGTGGGCAGACACATCGAACTTTCCCACGATATCAGAGAAATTCAGGAATGAAAATGACGTTACATATGAGGTTGATGCATTTATGCATGTCGTACTAAGCAAGGTATAAAAACAGTTGCTTTATGAGGAATTAGTTCGTACCATTGAATATTTGACGCAATAGACAAGGTGTCGCAGAAACCGATGTTGCTATAACCAAGTTTTACTGTATTATAAAATCAATAATAGGACATCGTGGTGTAAGATTTGAATCATTCACAGCAAATAAATATGCTAAAATCTCAGGCAATCAGTCATGTCAATGTTGAGTCAAAAACCAGTGTTTCAGAGAGATCTCTCTCCATCATGAGGGTTGATGTGCTGAATGACCATACATCACTGATATGGATAGTCTGTCAAATCGATGCACCCTTCTTTTGGCATACTATTCAGCAAGAGGGCAGTCATACTATGTGATCACCCATCCTACTCCAACCTATCCCCATGTCACTTAACCTGGTATCCCTGTTGTCAGTTATTTTGTTTGCCAACACGAACACAGAGAAGAACATGCTACAAAGAAAACAAAGTAACTGACAGTAGGGATAGTGTAGCTGGACGACAGGTTGGAGTTCGAGTCCCGGTAGGGTCAAGAATTTTCACTTCTCCAATCATCCAGACCAGCTCTGGGGTCCACCCAACCTCCTATACAATGGGTATACTTGGAGCTCTTTCCCGGGGGTAAAGCGGCAGGAGCGTGAAGCTGACCACTCACCTCAAACTACTGCCAAGGTCAAGAAAGTGTACATCCACTTCCCAGTACATCTTCATGGTGTAGAGCTTAATTAGTTAAGCACAGGACAACTGTACCTTTTTTTACCTTTTAGGGATACCAGGTTAAATAGCATGGTGATACTCAGAATTGCTGGGTTTTTGGACTTTGTCCATCATCGAGTATTCTTGAAACTAGAAAGCTCAGCATTTCAGAAACTGGATCTGTTTCCATCATCAGGTAATGGGGTGGAGACACCTACTCAGTTGGGTCCCTTAAAAACGTTGCGTTTTCTAGTTTCTAGAATACCAGACGATGAACAGAGTCCAAAAGCTGGTAATTCTGAGTATTATACACCATCTTCAGAACTCTTTTAGAATCAGCATGATGACAGGTTAGAGTGAGGTGGGTGGCCACACTATTTGGTTCTGCATTTCTGCCTAGTACATTAATAGGAAGAGGCATCAACTTGACAGGTGTATATGTGTATAATAAATATATGGTCATTCACCACACTTACCCTGTTGATGGAAATCTTTGAATCATTGGTTTTTAACTCAACATTGACCTGGCTGATAATCCAAGAAGATATTAGCGTATATGCTGCCGCAAATTTGATCAGTTCATTTAATATGCAGACATACCGTATTTACGCATGTATAGGTCGCACATTTTTTGCCAAAAATTCAAGAGGAAAACTGGGGTGCGGCTTATATTCGAAATATTCGAAATCACACTTCATTTAAAAAAATTATATTCATAATTAGTAATACAGGGTGTTCTACTCCTGAAATAATATTCCAAGAAAATTATTTTTTCTATAATTTCTGTCTGAAAATTGTGCTGCAGCCTATACACGCACACGGCCTATACATGCGTAAATACGGTATTAATAATTATTGATGGATACCATATGTAACATTTCCTAAGCACACACACATGCACAGCTATGTTCATGTAGTTCCACCAGTGAAAGTATCACTGTTTGAACGTAATAATTATGTGTTCTTATTACCCTGAGTATAATTTTTCTAGCAAACCCGTTTCTTTATATGTTTCAGAAAAAGATGGTGACCCGCTAGAAGAATATGACATATATTCAGACACGAGCAGTGTTATGGCATCAACTCTTCATGGGTCACACATCGGTTCCCAAGTATCAATGTGAGTATAGTAAATTACTGTAAAGTATTTTACTTGCATATTTTAGTGCATTAATTTTCTTCATGTTTGATATTTCTTTTTCTGTAGGCGCAGCAGCAGATCAAGTAAGAACAGACGTAAGCTTCAGCGGAAGATGTTAAGTCTTAAAGAAGGAAGTGTGTACGAGGAATTAGCATTGATTCGAGCCTTGCATCAGCTCATTACAGCTACTAACAATGCTACAGGTTTGTTATCAAACACAGCTTACTGTTTGCAATACCTACTTATTCAGAAAATACATACTTGAAGTATTAAACAGGAGAGTTTATATTCTCGCAGACATTTTCCTTGACTTTCCTTCATCCCTCCAGGCAACTGTCATGACGTACCTTAAAACGGACTGCAGTCACTTCCACATCTCATTTTACTGCTAATTACTCACAATCCTTGAGGTAATGTTCCCACCTCATGACTCGTGGTACGCGGGTTCAAATACCCGGCGGGGGTCATCGAATTTTTAAGGGCGGAAAAATTCAGGGAACAAGTCCTCCGGGAGGGACTTTAAGCTGTGTGTCCCGTGTCGTAACTTTACGGCACGTAAAAGAACCTCATATCCCCAAAGGGGATCACAGAGCCAAATTACAGGACATTTCCTGCCCAACAATAGTCTCTAAGGCCTCTGATAGATGGGGGAAGCATTATAGAAACCGCTAAACAAGTGGCCAAACTCGCTTGCTCAGCGGGACTGATGGTACGCACCATTTATTGGTAGGGTATAGAGACTGGTAGAATATCATAGAGGGAAGCACAATAGATCAAACTGGTCGCGGTGCATGGGGAAACCCACCCTCTCTAACTAACTAATTACTCACAATCCTTTCATTTCTCATTTGACTGTGCACTGTGTGTACTGTTGGTACAGTGTTGTCAAATAAACATAGAAACAAAAATACAGGTAGTTATAACATTGTTGTAATAATTACTAAGGGAACAATTATATGACATTAATAATAGATTGTGTTTGTGAACGAAAATTTGTTTTAAAATGCGAGAATGAATGAAGGGAAATAAAGTTTTATTTTATTTCAAGGTAAAATTGTTGATAAAGTTTTATATCTGTGCAGTAATAAAGATAATTTATTCATAAATGAGTTGAAGGAAGTCTTAATTAAATATGAAATATTACCAGAGTCGTTGTTTACTTTCCATACAGTACGGACAATTCTTCGTAAGATGAGGCACCGACTATAGAATTAATTAATTTGCAACATCATGGCCCTCCTATGCATTCTTATATAAAAGAAATATCAAATTTCCAATTTGTCCATGGAAATGTATGAAAAGTAAAATACCAACGACTGATTCGATGTTATATAACATCAATTTTATCTTGTTTTATACAACAACTTTTAGTTTGTTTTTTTTTTTATATAATCTGACGTATTGTATTTTTACGCAAAGTATTTAAAATGATTAATAACATTGTATCCAATCTAATGTACTGCAGTTTATGGTATATGTTTGTTAATGTGTGTTTGCCTGATGATGGCCGTTAGTGGCTGAAACATGTAACGAAACCATAGCTGGGTGCTGTCCTTGATTTTTTCTGTTCGTTGTGTTGTGACGGTCAATAAAGAGTTGTATGTTGTTGGTTACCAGTGAAGGTTATTCCTTAAACTTTTCTCTCAGCTTATACAAGTAATACTTGGACATTTTCAAGCACACTTCCCTACTTGTAACATGGGTGTAAATATCATGATGTAGCATACTGCTGTGTATGCTCACATTTCTTTCTCTATGCATGTGTTACAATTAATAAGGTATTATGCATAATGAAGTAAGGTATAAATGTAATATGAAGTAATGTTATGAAGATTTCTACCTCCTGTTACTTTATGTTGTTTGTTAGAAAGGTACTAACATCACAGAGGAAGCAGCTGCCTCTGTCCAACTTGAAAGCAACAGGTTCCTCTAAAAATTTGGTACTTTTATCCTATGTTGCATTGCCTAGAAAACAATACTCTTCATTTTCACAGCTGTGGGAACTTAAAGTCTCACAGAAAATGTTATGTAGTATGTTTATTAATTATGGGTTTATAGTTTCATTGTAATGAAATTTTTAGATTACACTGCTGTTCTATATTTGTAATCAATGTTCAAAACTAAAGTATATCGGTAAGTTGTATCATCATCAGTTTCAAAGTAAAAGGTCTCCAAATTGCTTTGCCAACTGTTCCTCTCTTGTAAATGAGCCTGGTATATAATTCTTCGTGGCCTTGAAGTGAATTTCGATGTGGTGTGTGTTTCCTTACAGAAGAAGTAGAAAGCTTATGTCGAGTGTTACTCAAGTTTGACAAGGATAAGGAAGCAACAAGCTTGCAGAAGCTTCTTTCAGATCTGATGCAAGATATGGACAATGCCAAGAATGAAATATGGACAACTGATCTGCTGCAGCAGCCACAAATGGTGAGCAGCTTACTGTTTGCTATGGATTTCCATAAATGTGAATGTAGTCTCTTGGGTAATGAAATCATGTAGTTTTGTATGCAGTTACTGAGATTTCAGCACGAGCCTCTGTCTTCATGGTAGAAACTTATGAAATTAAACAGGTGTCATAGACCTCAAATCTTATATTAGTACTAGTTAACTGTCCCATATGTTGTCATGTAGCATGTGTTACTATAGTTGGGGTTCGATTTTTTGAATAGATTTATTGACCACTTACAGGTCATAACTACAAATAACTTTTAACACTGTCATTGATTTCTACACTTTACAAATCACTACATTCAAAGCCTTCTCTAGCCTGCAGTGTCTTCACTAGATATTTCCTGATAACGGCTTTTAAAAGTAAGATTCTTCTGCCTCTGGCGTCAAGTCCTTTCTTCACAGCTGCCCATGCAGAACTGCCTAACAACTGACTTTGTTTCTTGCTTATAACATCTCAGCGTGAGCCACATAAAATCTCGATGTTTCCAACGGTAACTCTGTTCTTGCGTGCATAATCATTGCTGTGGGAACGTGTTTATCGAGCCGTTACTCAGTAATGGTTGTTTGCAGCATCACCACTTTGCAACGTGTCTATATGGCACAATATTATGACACATTTTCAAAATGAACCCATAATGTATTTAAAACATTTTATGCCAATGCAAACTTTAGGCACAGGCAGGTATCCCAAGATTATTGCAGTATCATATATGTTTCTCCTGAATTAATCATTCATTAAACCCTTGCGTAAGATACAGAAATATGAAGATATAACTCAGATTATTATGAAGTATGAACTGAATTGAAATGGATGTAGTCTGTTTTATTCCTGTTGTATATACATGGCAACAGATCTAATTGTACAGTTTTTCCTTTTGTTTTACACCTTCTGTGAGATAATAAAGGGTGTTTCACTCGGAGCGGAACCCGGCATTTCATTAATAACTCGGATACTAGTAAAGATATTGCAACGAAATTTGGAGTGGACTCACCTCAGTTCATGTGAAGTCTGGTGACATCATAACAAGTGCTGTAAATGGCCACCATTTGCGTCCAGACAGCATTGGACTCGGCGCGCCATGTTTTGGAAAGTCCTTGCCCATACGTCAGGTGTCACTTCTTGGATGGCCTCACTTATATTTGCTTTTAAAGCCTCTGTAGTTCGCGGTTTGTTGGCATAAACTTGCGCTTTCAAATGTCCCCACAAAAAATAATCAGGCGGCGTTAGATCGGGCGACCGCGCTCCTGTTATATAATGTTAGGACTGACTGCCAGAGAAAAAATCTCTGAATATCTTATTTAAAGAAACGTCTGTTTATCACCGAGAAATGGTTTGTTTCCAAGAATTTATCTCTATGGTAACGTGTTTACCGAGCCGTTGCTTAGCAACGGATGGTTCCTAGACTGTGATTGACGACTAGCATGTTGGAGGCATGTAGTCACTAGATGGCACTTGAACCAGTGGGTATTGTGGCTGCCGTGGTCTGCACTGATTGATCAATTCATTGTGGGTGGCTCCCACAACACAACAGTAGAGGAATTTGTGTTTTCTGTGGGAGACGCCCCAAAGCTATATATTGAGGATCTCAGGCAGCTAGATTGAGAATTGAGAGTCAACAGTCAAAGGGGTGATTGAGAATAATGACAAGAAAGGAACTGGGCTGTGCACAAGAAGACCTTATATGTGAGACTGATATAAGTACTATGAATATGACTGGTGAAGACTGAGGACACTAGTGTGTGTAACAGTGAAGTGTAACATGTGGAAATTGTGATAGTGCTATAATTAATTGTAGTTCCAAGTTGAGTGTATAAGTTGTAAATAAATCCAATCATCCAATCCAAAACACTGTCTGTAGTAACATACTGTGTGACAGTATATTGTCTGCACTCCATTTTATAGCTACAAAATATTTGGAGGAAAAATACACCAAGTAATAAATATCAAGTAGGTGATCTGGTGATTACTTGGGATTATGCACCGGACTGTCATTCAGAGGGTACTTAATTTTATCTTTGGTTAGATCTGCTTACAGATTGAAACCTTCACCTCTTCTAAATATAAAACTTTGGGAATGCAAAGAGCATGAGGCCTTTCCTTTGGTTTTATGCCTGGGTTGATCTGTAACTCCCCTCTGCCAAACCTGATTACCATTACACTCAGGGTAATAGAACCTGTCCTGTCTCCATCTCACAAATTGATTCTAACTCCTTTGTCTATGTGCGCAGTGGCCAGGAAGGTGAACAAAAACCATGTCTGAAGGCAACAGACAAACTGACAGACATAACAGCATCAGCAGCAGCAGTATAAATAAATCAAATGTTGCTTTCTGACAAGATGTCTCACTATTATCATTTTCCTTTTGTTTAACCTCTAAAATATTGCCCTGATGCGGAAATTTTCTTCCATTTAATGCATAATGTAAAATAAGAATCTTTATCAGGTAAGCTCCTTCTCTTCTTTTCCAGAGCTATGGTTCTGATGCAACAGTCAACAGTATAATAAACCAACACCAAAGTGCACTAAACCCAGGTCTTGCACTGTTAGGTAAGTTTCAGAGATTTATATAAATAATGTCACATCATGTTTGTGTGACTAATAATGATGGGTTCTGGAGTAGATGAGTATATTTATTGGACACTCACAAGTCATAACTACAAATAATTAATAACATTCTAAAGATTACTTTAACTATAACACATAAAGTCTTCAACATCTGCCTACTAGTAGCATGGTAATGAACCCTGTCTAGCCCAGCTATTGAATTGCCTTACCAAACACTTTCTGACTTCCTTGAACGTCTACCTCACGAATCAATGAACAAAGAGAATCCACGGTTTCATATATAGGCTAGCTCTTATCCATTGAAATTCCTCCAAGCATATTCATTGCCACAAAACATGTTTATTGAAACGTTTGCTACTAAGCAATCAAAGTTTGAAGTTCTATTGTTGACTGCATTGGGAATGTGTTTGCCTAGAAACAGGGGTTTCTAGCTCCATAGCTTAATGCTTTGATCAGATCCATCACAGTAATTATAAGAAGCTGATATACCTTGTTTCTGATTGTTTATTGCTACAGAAATTTCAAATTGCAGCTTTTATTTTGTTTCATAAAATGTTGCTATAATATACATGTTCGCTGATGGTTATATGGTGGTTCCAAAGTAATGAACCTTGCAGTTTGCGAGCTTACATGACTGTACAAGTATATATTGTAGTATGCAGACCACTTAATAGGTAATAGCCCACACACATGAAACAGAGGAACACATCACGTCTGTGGTGACCTCATGCAAGAGTAGGAGAGCTGCAGGAAGCAGTGTTGCCATGCGGTCCATCAACAAGGGAACAGTGTTTTCTGTTAGCTTCACCCCGAGCTGGTGTCGCTTGACCGACTGAATTGAGTTAGTGGATTGCAGTCAAGTTGAGCTGAGGGTCAACAGTTGTGGGACAGTTGCCAGTCAATCAGACCATGAGCACGGAAGCAGAGGAAATTGTTGGAAGCCATTACCAGACAACCAGTGTACACACAACTTATTGAGAAGACTTAAGTATATGCTGTAGCGAATTGTAGAGTGTGAATAAACAGTAGCACTATAGATAATTATACTTATGATCTGTAAGTGTGTCAGTAAATCCATTTACCAATTTAAACCCCATCTGTAATCACTCATACATGCGACAACTAGTGTCAGAAGTGGGATTGGATTGACCGAATTGATGGATTGGAGACAGCAGTAGGTAGTTATATTGTCATACTAAGTGATGGAACAAATGACGGAACACCTTCTGGCCAAGATCGACACCAATATGGAGGCCACAATACACTGCATCTGGTCCAAGTCCAAGGAGACCGTCAAGCATTGGGTGGAAAGCGTCACGTGTCGACCAAAAGGTGCAGGGTCTGCATAAGGAACTGACCAAGACAACTGATGAAACACAGGTGGACTTACAGGCAGTAAAGACTTCCCTCGATACATGAACAAAGAGCCTCCAGGAAACCCTAGCAGACACGAGAAATGACCTTCACAAAGAGGTTGGCCTCATTGTTCAGGTTAAGACGCAAACAATAAGGCCTGGAATAAGGATGTCAAGAAAGGATGGAAGCCAAGATTGAGACCACCAAGCAAGAGTTCCAGGCACAATTGAACGAAACCAGAGACAAGGCCAAGCGCAAAAGAACAGGAACCGGCACAGTTGCACCAAAATCACTGAAGTTTGACAGGTCTACGTCATGGGCCATGTTCTGGTACCAGTTCAAGATTGAAACAGAGCACAACTGCTGGATAAGAATGGAAAAATCCACGTACTTACTCACCACCTTGCAGGTCCAGGTCACTGACATGCTACATGGAGTCGCGAATGGAGCGACCTATGAAGAAACCCTCAAGGCCTTGGAGGACTGCTTTGGGGACCAGCACCTGGCCTCTCATCGAAGCCAGCTAAAAACAAGGACCCAGGATTTCATAGAATCTTTGCAAGAATTTGCTGCAGCCGTCCAACAGCTGGCCCATCACCCCTACCCCACACTATCCGAGGACCATATAAGGAGGGTAGCAGGCAAGTCGTTCACAGATGGGGTAGAACACACCACCATAAAAGTTCAGCTACCACTGGGAGGAGAGAAAACAGTGAATGAAACTCTGAGGCAGGCCCTCATGCTGCAGGCCATGCTGCTAGGAGCGAGGCCCCAAAAAACGAGTGCCAGGACATTCCAGTGGAGCCAACCACCCAAAACAGGACAAAGACACCAAAGACAATCGGCATGCTGGAGCTGTGGGGATCCAGGCCACATCCAGGATAACTCCGTCTACAGGAGGAAGGCAGAAAGCAACCACCAGCACCAAAAACTAGACGACAGACCTCCGAGAGTCACATGGGAACCGGCAAGAAGGTTCAAATGGCGACTGAGAAACAGTAGAGAGATATGATGGGAAACTGTCGGGAAACATGCTGGTGAATGGGGGGGGGGGCTGGCATACACATTAAGGCCTTCCCACTACACGCAGGCTGTCATTACAGAAAGGGCCAACCCTAGCTTAGTCACGCGGCTGGATCGATGAAAAACCATTCCTCATGACCATCGACACTGGGACATACGTGCCTCACCAGGCCCGATATCGCCACTGGATAGCCCAAAAGACAGTCAAACCAACACTACACGCTGCAGAAGACGGCATCTGGAGAAGCCCGCTCCATCTTGAAGGAAGTTTTCCTGACACTGAACCTGGGGCGGTGCCCACTGAAAATTTGAGTATTTGTTGCCAAAGGTCATGGTTGCAGTCATGGCACTCTCCCAGAATTTGCTCAGAGGGACTGAGGAGAACCAGAAAACCACAAAGAAGATCCCAGTCAGGATAGCTTGTCTGCGGACCAAAATTTGAAACTGTAACCTTCTAAATACAAAGCAGGAGTGATGCCCATTTGATGCCACCATTAATTGGAATCATAATATGTGAATGGACAATGCCAGAATACAAAATGCAGCTTCATATACAAATGAGATTATTTGGGGGGGGGACAGTGAATGAGACAGAGATGTATGTTGAGAGAGAATCTGTATGCGTGTAGGTACCATAAGTAAGCAGTATTGCAAACATCCTCCACCTCTCATCTGAACTGCGTTAAAGTATGAAGTTATTCATGTTACATTTCACAAGATGTTGCTGATACAACAGGGATCCCAAAGCTGTGCAAAAATATTTATATACTGAAGAGAGCTTAGCCATAAATAAATGGAACCACAGATGGCGAATCCATGAATATAGAGGGTTATCTATACTAAATTTTAAGAAATGTTTCAGGAAATTATAGATTATTGATTTCTCATTTACAGAGCCACATTTTAGGTTCCCACCACAAAATAAAAGTATTAGCTGGAAGATCAGCATACTCAATACAGCATGAAGACGTGGACATATCAGGTAAATTTACCTTCTTTGGCACACTGAAAATATACTGATTGCTCTTGTTTATTTACACATGTTAGAATTGTTATTATTTAGGTTCATGAAGTATTGCTTTTGTTTAGCAGTCTCTCCAAATTTTTGACAGTATGTTTGTAAAAATATTACATATTACTTGCACTAGAGTGTTCTAGGAATTCCATTCGGCATATAACAGCTGTCTTAGAGGGCGGCATATTGTAATATGAAAAACACATATGAAACAGTAATTGGTAGTATCCAGGTGAAAGTTTCAGTAAGAAATCAAAATATCGGATATTTAAATTACCTTCTTACAGGTCACAGGGAGAGCTATACTTGGCAGCCATGTCAAGCGCTTCCATATATATGTTTTATGGTATTATTTTCAGTGTTTTGGTATACGTGGTAGAGTCATTAAGTTCGTGTAATGTGGTTTTATCACATAATATTACAAGGTATTCACATACACTTACGCAGATCCACATCGGCCCTCAAAATAGTTGCCGTTGGCCACTGTGCAAGTCTGCCAATATTGATGTAGCTGTCAAAAACTCTGCTGAAGCATATTGGCAAGAAATTCCTGTATGACTCTTTGCGGCCATTCCACGAACTTATTGACTGTGGTAGTATATCACAACATGTTACTTTTTATATTGCATTTTACTTTTTAAAATGCGTAGAAATTTCCTTTCATTTTCTTTATGAAGTTGGTATATCTTTAAAATGACTAGTTAAGTGTAATGAAGTGTTATGTAGCAGTGTCTGCTTTAAGCAGGGGATAGTTGTTTTTGTTTTGGAACTTTTATTGTGCACCAGTTCATTATCCATTAGTGGCAGGAGACGCCACGGCCATCTTGGAAAATGTAAGTGATGTCATAGTGGGTTGCTGAATTGCTGTTCTCAAGGGTGTATTTGGCAATGCCTCTGTGCTGTAGCCTAGAGAGACCATAGTGACCTGTTGAAGAACTGATATGTGGGCAATTGGTCTTACTCCTTCGTGGCCATGGGGTCCACATGGGGTGACTATGATATGCTGCCCACACCAGTTGCACTGACCCCTACCTCTGGACAAGGTGTGATATGTAGACTTTTCTCTGCAGGTGAACATACCATCAGGATTTATCCTGCAGCAGTACAGGGAGCATTCCATAATGGCCTTCATGAGGCTGCACATTTTTGTTGATTAATTCTTGGAAATTCTGTATCCTTCACCACAACAACCATCTGTAGCAAATGCTCAAGTTTTGCCCTCATCAGTTACCCAGCAGGCAATACAGAAATAGGCTGTAAACCGACTATTGTGTTTTATGTAGTTGAAGTGTCTGAGAATTTTATAGATATAAACAGACATTCAGGCACACACTTGCAGATTTTAAGTGTTGGTGGTTAGTTACTGATATCAATTCTGTTTTTGGGTAGTGATACTGTGTGGTTGTGGGTAATGTTGCTGACATTTCAGGGGTACAGGAAGCCTCCATTTTCAGGGTCAAAGTGTGTAGGTTGGTGAGTTGCTTATGGGGAGAGAGACAAGACTCACACACACCCCCATTCTTTTTTTAAAAGGTAGGGTGTAAAGGGGATTGGTATCTTGAGTCCACCAGTAGGAACAGTGGACAGGGAAAAGCTGTTGTCATCATCAACCACAACTACACTGTACACACACACATATTCTTTTTTTATAATATGTGAATGTTGATTTTGTGTGAGTGTTTATTCTTATGGAGGTTGTTTACCAAAATATAACATACATATTAATTCCCATAATTAAAATATTATTGTAAGCATCTGTCAAAAGCTGCTTGCAGCATCAGAACTAACGTACAATGCCTGCGTCCCTGAGTTTGGGAAATGAGTGCCTGGGATTCATACTGTTATAAATGTTAGAGCATAAAAATTACATAATTTTCATAAAGGAAATGAGGCAAACGTATTTTTGTTCATTTCCATGACTGATGTAAGTTTTGTTGCTATACTTAACATGCTTTTTTTTATTGCTAGTGGGGTGGGACTAAGCCCCTTGTACTGTGGCCACTTCTGGCCTATTGTATCAGTCCCAGATGATAGGTGAGGGTGATTGTGGAGCAATTAGTGGAATGAAGATTGGCAGGGGAAACCGAAGTACTCTGAGAAATCCTGCCCCAGCGCCACTTTGTCCACCACAAATCCCACTTGACCAGACCTGGGATCGAACCGGGGCTGCCGCGGTGGGAAGCCAGCGACTAACCACTTGAGCTATGGTGCAGCCTTACATGCTGTTTACAACATTCTTTCAGTTACAGTATTGTATGAAGTTAAGTTCTTAGACAGCTGTCATGCATAGGATCAAATGAAGGGAGATGAGATGGTTGGGGACATGTAGCACATAAGGCAGATGAAATGTGTGCAAAATTTTGGTCCAAAAACCTGAGGAGAAGAGACCACTTGAGAAATAAATGTGAATTGGATAAGGACCAGTGATGTGCAGTCGTAATGAACCCTCAGGTTCCGTGAATTGCGGGGCATGTCTTGACTACTTGTCTTTTTCCAGAATTATTGCTAAAATCAAACCTGAAAGGGAACCCCGTGCATACTTAGATGTGTGTGGCAGATTTTAACACCCGAGCAGAAATCTGAATACACTGGAAGCAGAGACAGAAATGTTAGGACTAATATATGCTGTTTCTCATTACTCAGCAGTTGTACAAAAATCAGTGTAACATTTTGAAATTACCACAGAGATACTGGGACATTGCATTTAAATTCTGCATTCTATAGTGCTTACTCTGTATGAACAGAGGTAGCTGATATTAAGAATATGACAGTATGGGGCCACATCATGCCCACAAAGCAATGAAGAGCTTTCTCATGGAGAAAAAGTAAGATCTAACATTTTATGCAGATGACATATGAACACAATGACAGACTTTATGGACGTTATCAATCGTTGTAGTTTTATTCAAAATGACGTTTCAGAGACTTCACACTGCCTCTATCCTCATGTAAGATGCCTACTTACTTTAACCCAATCGACAGAGCTGGTCCCGGGGGGACTAGTTATGTATATTTATCATACTTGAAGACAGGGAGAATCCAACCTTCGAAACGTCTTTTTAAATAAAAATAGGACAATAGATAATATACGATAAGTCAATCATTGTGCTAAAGAAGAGCGTTTTCTGAACTTTAAGCAGAATTCATTCATCACCATTATTGTAGTAAGTCTGTGGAGCAGACAGTTGGGATTCAATTCAACGAACCATATAACTATTCTCTTTATACTTGTATGCTCGTGCAGAGGAGTTCTGGTGCTCACCCACTCAGCTCTTCTGTCCCCGCGATTACGGTAGGCCGATACAAAGACCTCTCACAACTCACCTATGCTATAGTGATGTAATTAGGCCGACCTGACGGTCCCTGCTTCTGTGTTATTAAACGATTGGTGCGACATTTTGAAGTGCACATGGGGGGTGTCTATTCACTCGAACTCGCATTGCTATTGAAAGATGGACATAGTAATGAACAACGGGCCTGCTTTTAACAAATTGTAATTCAGTACATTAAATATAACCGATTTTTACAAGAACAAAAAAATCGGGTAAACATTTGTTTGTATTACATAAAAGGTCACATGATTACAGAAGGGCATAAATAAGCTTACATATAAGGGAGGACAAAAATTTTATGTGTTCAGTTTGATTATCAGCAGGTTTAAAGCCATTCGCGAACTTCAGCTACAAAGTAACAAACATTATGGCTCGGGATTTGAATATGAGGTCATAGATTGGTTGACCGTTGCTTCTCCTTTCCCCACGAACCCACAAACAAGATACATCAACACGGACGCGGTTTCCTTTAGTGTAGATATTCACAAGTGTATTCAGATGTGGGCACGTTTTACAGCACACCTCATAAAGAAGCCTCCATAATGCATAGCATATAAGTGCTAAACCTGCGTTGTTCACTTGAATTTACGATATGAGTTTTCGTCTCAGGGTGGCCGGAGTGTTCTGGCGCCATGAACGCCTGCCGACACTTGCTGTGTCATGTGGCGGAATTCAGATTATTGTCAATGTTCTGCCATATGCTTGATGAATGTTTATTAGGGTCTACAACTCAGTATGAAGGTGCGAATAAACCTTTAATGAATAGGAGCGGAGAACCCAAATATGACAAGCGTTTGAAGTAATCAAAAGTTTTAATGTTGAATGAGACATCGCGTACTCAACGTGTAGGCTGTTAAAAGTGTGAAGCTTTTGCTAGACTTAGTTTCCGAGCTGTTACGTTAGGGGGCATTAATATTAATATCTCGGCCCATGTCGAACACACATGAGGCTGGCTTTCCATAAAAAATGGATAGCACTGTGTAATTAACGCTTGAATAGCTAGTATGTAGAGCTACTACAATACAGAAACGCATTCCCTTCGCATTTCACTGAAAAAAAAATCCAACAGGAAATTAATATACAGGTTTTGATGTTTTTGCGCATAACTTGTCCGCTTAAGTTCTGGCTTCCTGGTTGGTTCCTCCAGTACTGGTTGTCATGACTTATGTCATAGGTTGTAAGATTCGAGTTTCTTACAGCAGTGGTTATGAACAATTCTGTCTTCTAGAATATAGCACCATGTATTGCATTGAAAGTTAACCGACGTTTCGGACGAACAATTCACCTCAATTTGCAGAATAGAAGGATAATCCAAAGTAAGGAGCCAGCATGAAACACAGCATTTTTAACTCTGCTTACTAAATTCTTCATCTTTCACGCACAATATATTCAGTCCCCAATGCGACTGTTTTCACTTTTATTTCTCTTCCTTACGACATGTTTCATTATCTTACTCTTCGGCTCTGGAGTTGAAGGCGACATGTTCCTGAAACGTCGCCTGAAATTTAAGGGACTACACAGCGTTATATCCCAGAAGACAGAGCTCTTTTATGTTGCATGATATTTTCACAAATAATTTCCTGAAAATGCCATGTTATAGATCTGGATTTACATGTACATCATCACACATAAAAGCATTCCGAATGTGTATCGTAAGATAACGTCTCCATAAATTCTGGTGAAAGTATGAGATTAGTAAAAAAAAGAAAAAGTAAAGCTATCCCTGTAACAGGCCATGAACTCCCATAGGGTTGTGAGACGTTGAGGCTCCCACATTATCTAGACAATCGGCTCAAAGATGGCTGTAAGGTTGTCAGCCTTACGCGCCGGCCATGCTTTACTCCCTAGGAAAATTATTTATTTAAATAAATACAACCTCCGTGGCCTGTAGTCCGCAAGCGAACTATACCGACCGAGCGACCGCCGCTTGTCGGCGAAGTTAGTGCCAACTTTAGCGGATAAAGGGTGTCGCGTGGTGAGCGCAACAGATCCCCACGGCCGTTAATCTCGGTTTTCTAGACCGGAATACAATAAATGGTCAACATAATTTTTAACACTTGTATTGCCTAATATTTCCACTTCACTGCCCTTCAGAACTTACGGAGGTTTCCTGATTCTGGACGAGAAGGGTCACAGAAGTTTAAAGTGACTGAGCATCGACCACAATGTGCGTGCGTGCGTGCGTGCGTGCGAACGTGTGTGTAGGAGGAATAGCATATGTGGTCTGCTAATTTAAATTCCAAGCAGGACAACACCATTGACAACGTTGTGTTGTTACACTAGTGGTCATTCCACCAGAAGACAGGCATGATTTGTTTTGCACAAGATACTGTATTGAAATCTGCCTGCAGAAACTGGCGGCGACCATCAAGTGCTTCAGTTAACAAGTTGACATATTCTGTTCAGTAGTTTTCCGACTGATCAGTTGCATCACCGACAAGTGCATTTCTTTGTATAAGTTGTACAGTGCAGGTAAACAGTGTGAACAACAATCGGTAATATATTAGAATTGCTGGTAATTCTTTGTAACAAAAGCTTTCAGGTACACAGATATTGCTAACATTATTAAAAGTAACATTAACATTCTTTCGTAGTACTGTACATATCTGTGAAATTGTGTTACAAATTACAGTTCGCGTTCAGTTTGTTTTACGCGTGAGCAAATTACTTGTGTGGGCTACAAATATTTCTTCGTTCTATTTAGAAACAAGAGTGGGCCTAAACATACGTTTATAGGTGTATTTGAGCCATGAGAAGAATATTCTGCTTTGTTTATAGACTTCTGGAGTTACAAACACATAAGTTCGAATAACCACAGTATCGAAATACAGATAACTGAACTCTTGATAAGTACGCTTATGTATGTTGCTGAGAGTTATGTTCCCATTATTACATTATCATAAATTAAATTGAAAAGTATAATTTTATGGCTACATAAAGGATTTGGTAGTGTCACGGCGGTGGTTATTAAGAGTTCTATCTTTTGGGATATAACCTCATATAGTCCGTTTAAAGCCAACCGCTGTTTCGGAGAGATATGTCCACTTGCTACTGTTTCACGCTGGTTTCTTACTTGGCTTATTCTTCAATCATGAAGATGGAGGTGACATGTTCTACGAAACGTTAGTTGACACTCAGCGGAATCTCACCATAATGATAACAGTGTTTATGTTTATAGCTCGTTGCTAGGCAACAATCAGCGCGCCAATGGACTGACGTGACTTGTTTTCTGTGTGGTCTGCGCTACGCAACAATAGAACTGTGTTTTCTGTGCGTGGTGCGTGCCGAGAGGATATGAGAGAACACGGAAATGGGAATTGACTTCACTTGAGTTCCGAAGATCCAAGGGAACAGCAGTGTGGCCAGAATTGTATGATATTACATATGTTATAGTTACAGTAATCTTGAGAGTGTAAGAACTAATTGTAGTTACGACTAGTGAAGATTCAATAAACCGATTCACCAATCCAAACCCGCGTTTTGGGTCGTTAAATTATGGTGTCCTAAAAAGTTAAATATAGAATTTTATTTTTAAATTGTTAATGCTTGCTTTAGCTCCGACGTAGAACTGTTCACTGATCCGGAATGCAGGTTATTTCAGTCCATTTCAGTTTATTTTCCGATAGTTTCACAGGAAGTAGCTATTCCTATCAACCTACAGAAAAATT